TTTGCCAGATATTCGTCTTTTTTTAAGAATAACATATATTGGCGACTTGTCACCTCTCCTGATGACAATCTCCTTATTCTCACGAAAGCTCTTAGCTGCCGCTTTGAGCTCGGGGGATAGTATGGTGCTTTTGTAGTTTCCTCGAATCTCCTCCTTCTGCAATAAGTTTAGTTTGCAAAGTGTCTTTAGTGGTAACCTTCTTTTGCGCCTCGAGATCGAAATGTCGTACAATTGAATCTCCAACTCCACTTTTCGGGCCATCTCACTTGGTCTGGACATAACGTGACAGTTTATAACCAGATTCAAGAGAGTGATCTGGTCCTCTGTGAGGCTGATTCCGGCAAGGTTTAAGAAGCCATCTCTGGTTCGAGGAATCGCCATAGGTTCTCCAAATAATGTTGTCAGTTTCTTGATGATCCTGGTTTCGGTGCTGTAGCGATGTCGATCTGTAAGGATGTCGAGGTGTTGGCCGATTCGAGTACGGAGGTCTTCGTCGATGTTGGTGTGTCTCCATTGTTCTGTGCTAAGTACTTGTGCTTTGCTATCGTTGAAATCATTTTCTGCCTTGTGCATCTGATTTCGAATCAGATCTTGGCGATATTTTATCGTGAAAGCTTGGTTTCTTGCTGCTGGGTCGTGCGTTTTAATATTAATATATTTTGGCAGCAGTCTTTCTTGTAAACATATATTGTTGAATATGACCGAAAGGGTAAAATTAATTATTCTAACACGAATCTTCTCAATATTTCTTACGTTTTTCTTCACTGTCGGGGGTAATTGATATAAATCCATCAATGTTTGTATCTCACCTTGTATGTATGTACTTTACCTGAATAAACATTTTATTTTATTTTATTTTATTTTATTTTTTCCGACTCCATAAAGTGAATAGTACAGTTAAAAAGTTTTAGTTAAAAAGTACAGTTAAAAAGTACAGTTAAAGTTTTACTATCTAATTGCCTAGAACGTCAATCTTTGTACTATAGTGCACATATTTACAAAAACTACCATCTAAACAGGATAATAAGTTGTAATAATTATAATTCATTGTCGGGGGACAGGAAGCCAGAGTGTATTCATACACATTAGGCTTATATCGAGGCTCCCCTCCCCCCAGGTAGAATTACTGACCCCGCCCAGGATGCAATTCCACAACAAGCTAACTCCTGAGCATCAACTCACGGCTAAGTGAACACAGGCATTAGGTGATAGGAAATGCGTCCAACAATTTCTGTCCAGCCCGGGACTCGAACCCAGAATTCTGGATTGTGAGTCGCGAACGACCCCGACTGTACTACCTCTTATTATGATTAACCTTCCTTTGAGATAGGAACATTAGATGAACTTATAGCTAGTTTTTTTATCTATTTTGCAACCTTTCAAGCAGAATAGGGTAGCAGCACATTGATGTGTGTACCTAAGCTGGTTAATAATAAAAAAAAGGTAAATAGTAATGCTAAATGGTCGTCTTTAGTGTTGGAACAGTAATCCGACTTGTCATACAGGTTAGATTTAATTACGCGAACGCTGACGTAGTTTTTATCTTGTGCACTCAGCCAATTATAAAGAAGATTTTCAATTCGAACGCATGAGCTAAGTTGTGATTGGTTAAGAATAGAGGCTGGTTGCGCCTCCTGGGATTTCCAGGTGCTGCCACAACAACAGGGAGCAAGGGACGTCCTCTGTGTCCCAGCTGGCCGTCACATGCTTTTCATTACTCCGATAAAATGGGGAAAGATAAAAACGCCCAGAGGACCAAAGGGAACAAAAAGGTAGGGAGGAGTTCACGTTAAACGCAGGAAATGGTGTTACGGGGTCTCTTAAAAGTACTGGAGTCTTCACCAGTTGTTGCAGTTGTGGCCTGAAGGTTCCCTGGAGGCAACAGCATGACCAGTCACACCTCGCACTCCTTCTTGATACCTGGTTGAGGGAGTTCTGGGAGTTCTTCTACTCCCCAAGACTGGCCCGAGGCCAGGCTTGACATACACTCAACGTATATACAAAAATAATTTATACTATTTATCTCTGAACCCTACCTGGTGTTCCATAGGTGACACTAACATAATAATAATAATAATGTATATTTAGGTAAAAGTACATACATACAAAAGGAATTACAAACAGATTGTTGGATTTCTAGATAGAGCCAGTATGAATGAAGCCACTATGCCTAAAGCCACTAATACGCACAGCGTTCCGGGCAAACCTTCACTAACGTTCATAAGGATTTTATTTTCGTTAATTTTTGTGTATATTTATATACATAAATATATTCTCATATATATACACAAGAAGGTTAATGTGTGATTAGGGTCACTAGAATGCTTAAAATATTGTTTTATGGGGCATTGTAAATTCAGATAAATTTATATAGATCCATGGGGATGGATCTCACACACACACAGTATATATGTACAGTATATATAAATTAAATAAAATTGCGGTAAGTTACCGTTTATTTTCGTTGCGGTAGATTGGGGTTTAAAAAGCACCGGTCACGTAGAATGACTACTCTTAGACCTCTTTTTGAATCCCATACATTAATTACATAATAATGTGTGAAGAATTGTGTATTGTGTAGATCGGGGTTGGGAGCCTTTCAATCTACGAAAATCATATTTTACTCAGTGAAGGTTCGATAAAGCCACACATTGTAGTATACACTATATATTCAGATGCTGTCTCTAAAACAAATTTACAGATTAAGATTCATTAATTAAAATTGGTTTTGAAGGCTACAGTGAGCACTCTGAAAGCCCGCAGGTTCCTCACACCCTGGTGCAGATCGATAAAGTACACATACAAAATATAATTTGCAAAAATTATAGATAAAATCACAAGAAAAATGTGTCTACAAAATTATCATACAACTGTATACATGGTAATTAATATAATGTAACACAAACTTTTGTAATCTGTCAGAGGGGGGAAAAGGAGTTTCCATGAAGATAAGTGCAGTGTTATGTAGTTACTCACAGGGTACTGCAAGTGTAATTCTTTGTACTGTACTTCACAACAGGAAATCTGTCGATTCTAAACCCTTATCGGTCCATCCTATACCCCCTTATTGGTCCATCCTGGACCATTATTGGTTCATCCTAGACCCCTTATCGGTCCATCCTAGACTTATTGGTACATCCTAGACCTTATCAGTTCATTCTGGGCCCTTATCAGTCTTCCCTAGGCCCTTGTCAGGCCATTCTAGATCCTTGTCAATCCATCCTAGACCCTTGTCGGTCCATCTTAGACCTTTGTTGGTCCATCCTAGACTATTGTCGGTCCATCCTAGACCCATATTGGTCCTTTTCTTGGTTTTGACTGAAGTGTCTAGGATGGACCAAAACATCATTACTGTACAGTACTTTCTTTCCATTTTATGTGTTCGTTGGGTTATTTATTTTTATTACCTATTTAATTTATTCAATTTATTTAATGTATTGTTATTATTTATGTATTTATTTATTATAGTAATTTTACTTACTGGTACAGTATTTATTATTCCTCCCTTCCCTTTCTCTTCCTTATAATTCATTATACATTACTCATTACAGTACATTTCCTGTATTCCTTTACAATCCTGTATTTAATCCATGCATCCTATAATCCTTGCATCCTTTTACCTAATAGGCCACATTCTAAGCTTTATGCACTTGGGCATTTCCTTGGTGAAGATACAGTACTGCTGTTTCCTTGGACAAGACTCTGCACTCTAATGGCAGGTTGACACTTCCCATTGGTGCAGCAGGAATCTTTTCAAACATCTCCACCAGATTAAATTGATGATAGGTTATGGGTGTCTGTCATTTGAGGATTTAACACAAGCTTAACAATATTTTTCTAGGCCCTGGCTATGGTTAATCATGTTGGTGAGTGTCACTCTCTCCTTCACCATATTGTTAGGGTGATGCTTTTGTGCATTCTGCTCGAATTCCTCATTGTTAAGATTGATGCATGTTCGTTTTTGGAATGGTCCCGTATTGATACAGGATTTTAGTCTGTTCAGCTTTCTGACCCGTTGAAGCAGTGCATTGGTATTCTCTGACTTTCCTATGCATTTTTTCTTGTAGGGTGTCCATACCATTTCCATACCATACAAGATACCATTTCTTGTAGGGTTTCTTGTAGGGTGCTAAGAAAAGGCTCTCTCTGTTGCTGTACAGAATGGTACAGATTAATAAGCTAGACTTAAAATATTCTTTTTCTGCTGTCTTCTGCTGACATCAGGGCTCGGTATTCTTTATGTTAAACTGTATGCTTTCATCTTAGTTCAGTACCTCCCAAAGATTCCCTAACTATGCTGTCAATGTGTAGCACTTGGATAGCTGTCTTCCAGATAACCATCTCTATGGATGAGGGTCTTGGTACAGAACCTCAATGTTTGGATACCCAGGGATACATACAGTATTCTTCCTCTGCAGTTATAGTACTTGTAGAACCACTCTGTACTTCAGATAAATTCAGTCCTCCTGTGCTCATGTTAACTGCCTTTCTTCTATAGCATCCTTGCCTAAGATAGCAGATGCTCACCTTCCCTCCTTATATTCCAAATTTTTTGTTGTGCTTTGGGTTCTAATCATGTGAAATGTGAAGTGGGCATGACATGAGTACTCATGTAGGTGCTGATATCTAGTGGCAAGAAAGGTAGCAGCTGAGAAATTCAACTAGTAGTTATCAGAATGCTCCTTGGTAGTTTCTTTGATGCTGGGTAACACTTGAAAGAGGTTTTGAACATAGATTAGTTAGACTCGTTGAAGTCATTATGTTCTGGATTGAGAATTCTCCAATCTTCCCAATACCAGTGTGACCTAGATGGATGTTTTAAAATATTCCTGCTGTGGTGGCCCTAAGTGCCAACCTGCCCTGAGTGTACATAGTCTTGTCCATCAAAACAACAGGACTTGTTTATGGAAACATCAGAGTGCCTGCCTCAGAAAGGTGCCTTTTATCTGTTCTCATGGCCTTATTTCTTCATATTCTGAGATATGTTTTGGCATCTACAGCCTTCTAGCAGTGGAAGAACAGCAGAACTATTGGGCGGAGCGACAGGTTTTGTTGGGTTTAGTGTTTTACAAGACTTGGGCTATGTGCCAGCAGCTTCACAAGCAGTCCAAACTGATGATAGTGCTATTTCTGCTGAATTTCGAGTTACATTACGAAAAATGACCAAAAAGGATTCTACAACAAAAATTAAGGTTAGTGAGAAATGTTTCATAATTTTTTTATATAAGTAAATTGGTTAAAAATTAAGAGGAATATAATTTGAATTCTTATTTTAAGAATACAATATGCAATATGATGTGGTACTTTAGTAGTACAGTACTTATATACTTCACACCCAAATACAAGTATAGATGCATAAGAAATTGTCTAATTTTGAAGTTGTAGTAAAATAATTTGAAGAAGCACGCTGTCATGTATTAACACCTGGACTGTACACCTGTTAATAAAAAAAGTTTTGTTTATATTTAAGATCATTTTATCAGCAATTCATAACAAATCCATTCAGTTTTAGTGCTAAGCTTTAGATGATCCCATTTATTCATAGATGATTGTCTTGCATCTTATGATTTATTCCAGGCATTACAAGAATTTGAAGCATTATGTCAAAATGAAGATCAAGAAGCTATTTTATCTGCTCTTCCATTTTGGCCACGTCTATATTCCAAGTTATCAGTAGATATAGAGAGAAGGGTAAATATTTTATGATAATTGGTTTTACAAATGACATGAGTTAATTGCAGTGCTAACAGAATTATTATGTTTTACTCCAGATTTGGTAGTTACTGTACCAAGTATAATAATACAGTCTGCTTTGTTAGTTTTACTATTTTAACTTAACAAAGTCTGTACAGTATTGTGAATTTTATGTAATGGAAAAATTGTATGTCGTCCTGTGTTTATGCTGTATTCTTCCACATGCACAATAGTGTCTGCTTGGCCATTATTATGCTTTAAACTTGAATTACTTTTTTTATTAGATTTGCTTGCTAATAATCAGCTTTCTGTATGTTTTTCTTTATTTTTGAGGTTCGAGAGGCAACACAGATTGCCAATGGTGCTCTCGTGGCCCAAGTAGGGAAGCAGCTGGCTCCTCATCTGAAATCCATCATGCCATCATGGATATTATCTATGGTGGATCCACATCCTCCTGCTGCCATTGCTGCCAGTAAAGCTTTCCAGGTTTGTAATGATAAATGCTTTATTTCTTCATTTAGATCATGTTTAACAGTTTAAGTGAAAAACATATAATTTAAATTTAAAGTATTTCTAAAATGTGGAAAATGAACTTTTAAATTTCTAAGTTTAAATAAATATCTTGATCAGTCTTGCTTGAAAATTTTTATTTCCAGCTTTGTCATTGAACAGGATTATATTGATACACTGTAAGAAATGTGCATTTTAATGTTAATTATAGACTCAATCTACTTATTTCCCTTGGAATTTTCCTGGCTCATTTCCTACAACTGTAGGTTCCATTCCATTTCATGCTTGACAAACTCTTGGGTTGGGGAAGGGAGGCACCAACATTGCAATACATCCTCCTGTTAGATAGTACTTTTCTGGGGGAGCCCCTTTGGCTCCCCGGAGCTTATCCAAGCTGATATGCTAATGTCAGACTTTGGCATCAGTTATGTGTATGGAGTTCTGTGGGCCTACCAGGGACCACGAGCCAGAACCTGGCCCCCTCCCCACCATGGGGAGCAATGGCCTATAGAAATCCCCGTGTGGGTTGGAAGCATTCTATGTCTGCCATCAACCGGGTCAGGCACCCAGAAAGGTAAGCGTCCCAAAACAAACCCCTATTCTGGTGAAAATTGCTACCAAAAGCCGAACAAGTGGATAGAACTCCCCAAAAAGAAACGAGCATGACGCTATACGTCACCGCGCCGCTGTCTGCGCAGTCTCCCCTCCCCAGGAGGGGGAAAGGGGAGCCCCAGACCCCCACCCAGCTATCCACCCTTCAGTTCTGAGGCTGATGCTATGGGCAACGGTCGAGTGCTCTGGCTCCAGTGGTTGTTTCAGCACTGTACCTAGAGTGTGGTGACTGTCTTCTGGGTGGTGTGTGAGCCGGGAGTGATTCCCCAGTACTCGGGCTGCATGCGCCTAGGGTTTCCTTCCCTAGGTGCCCTGTAAGTACTGTACTGCCCTTTGGGCTTGGGATTACCTTCCCCAAGTTCCTTGGGTTCGGCCTCTGCTAGGCCATTTACTGCTTGGTTTTTGGCCGCCCTTTGTGTGCTAGGGTGTTCTATCTTCCTTGTTCGCCTTAGGGTGAGGGGCAGTTTTGTGCTGGTAGGGGCGCAGGGTCAATCGGTTTCATCAATCTTAGCGGCCAGCTCTGTTCTGCCTGGGTATGCTGTCCTTTTGTGGGGTTTTCTTTTTGTTTGTCTGCCTGGTGGGGGGGGGGTCTGCCTTGGTTCTTGGCCTCCCTGTGTACTGGGTACTCTTCCTTCTTCAGATGGTTTCCCCCTGCTAGGTCCCCGTGAGTGTACACGTCCCGGGGGTTCAGTTCTTGGAAGGTTGTTTGGTAGACTTGGGCACTGGTTAGCAGTACCCTGCCTGGAATTACCTGGGCATTAGTCCTTAAACGCTCAGGACCCTGGAAAACCCCCTAGGGGGTGTGTGGGTCCGATGGATGTGTACCCAGAGTCCTTCCTCGCTTTGTGCGAGTTAGAGGGTTGCTCTGTCCCTCTTGTCTCAGGGTGACTCTCACTGTCTTTGCTTCCGTCTGCTGCCTGCGGGGTCGGTGGCACTTTCGGCCCTGAGTCCTACGAGTTTTGTTGCTTGTTTGTGACTCGGTTACCCAGTCTTATGCAGACTATGCGGGTACAGGTAGCACGGGCGTTGCACGTTGCATTTCACTGGTGGCAACGTGCTAGGGGTGTTTGTTCCTGGAAGCCCCGAGGCTGCCCCATTTTCGTTGCTGTAACGGGGCTTGGGGGGTGTTGGTTGCTTCGGTTTTGTTTCCTTCCACGCCCCTTTGTTTTTCCCCGTTATGGGTATCCCCTTCCTCCCTGCATCCGGATCATTACCGTCTGTGGGTTTGGAGTTGGGACTTCTTTATCTTGCTTCTTTCGGTGGTCTTGAAACTCGGGCGGTCTCGGGAACTTCCCCTTCCGGGGTTGTGACAGGGGCATTCGAACCTGTTCCTCCAGCCGTGTTGTATGACTCTGCCAGTGGGCAACCCACATCTGGCATCCCTGCCTGCGCATGTGCCGTGGTAGTTTGTTTTGATGTGGGTGGTGTGCACATGTGCTGGTGTTCTGCGTCCTTTTCTCTCGGGTGCTTCGCCTCTCGTTCCTCTCAATTCTCCAGACCGTGTCCCGTAGCTACTGGGGGTGTTCTGGATTGCCGCTATGGGGAGGGTGCCAGGTTTTCCCTGCGTATGGGTGTGGGGCTCCTCCTCGCCTCTTCCCCTACTCTTCTCTTGCATGTGCAGCCTTGCCTCCTTCCACTGGCGGTGCTCTCGACATCATCTTGGCTACATTGTGTCGTGACACGTACGTGCCTACGTTCTGCAGGTGAGTTTCTGTGGTTTGGCGTCTTTCAGCCAGGTTCTGGTTCGTGGTTTTTGGCTATGAATATACATACATCGGAGCCCATGTGACTGCAGCAGGCCTCTTGGGCCTTATGAGACAGCTCCTATTTATAACCATTCAGTCCCACTCTTCTGCATGTACAACCCATGCTTGAGTCCAGCGGGAGGCCCAACCTCCACCAGGTTACGAGGTACGATGGTGGGGGTGTATGTTATGGGATAAATATTACTGTCAGGTTGTTATGAGGTGACATTTTGCTGCAGTTTTCTTACCCTGGTTGCTTGTTGGGGATTGGTTGTGATGTTTTGTTTGGCCCTTCCATGCTTCTTCCTGGGGCCTTCCTTGTTCGTCTGGGTTCATTGTTGCGAGGGGGAGGGTCACCGCCCCATTTTCCGTGGTTTTATCTGATTCACTCCTTCCTTGCCAGTCTTGCAGTGCCTGGCTTGGCCCTTCCATATAAATTGGTTTCTCTGTACTTCCCTTGTTGTACTTCCCCAGTTGTGTTTGTCGGAATTGAACTCTGGCTTTTTGGTCCCGCTTCTCACCTGTCATTCGCTGATGTGTGGGTTCCTGTGCCTTGTCTCTTCCTTATGCGTTCCGTTTGTCTCCTACTCTGCCACTGCTTTCTTCTTTCCAATGTTTCTCTGGCTCTTTGGGCTCTCCTTCCACCGGACCCCAGGGGCACATGCACCCGGGACTCTGGGTGCGTGTGCCCTTGGGGTCCCGTAGCCGGTTTTTCTCTACCCTGTCAATTCCTTTGCGAATCTTGATTGTGGTGATCTTGTCCTCGTTGCTTGCACTCCTTGGTTCGGGTACTGGTCTGCTGGCATTCCTTTGTGCCTTTCATTCCGTTTGCTACACATTGTTGTGGGTTTTATTGGTGCCTTTTGGCTTTCCTCTTGCCAGGTTTGGGTTTCTGGTTTCCTGGCTTCCCTGCCTGTTGGCATTTTCCAGTCTCGTGGTTTCCCTTCTCTGGAGTCTCGAGTCGGAGCCGTCATCTCCGCTCTCCTGGTGGGCTTGCTGGGGTTGGGATTTTTTCTGTACAGCACACGATCCGTCTCCTCCTTTGCCGGCTTGGTTTTCCGGCTCTGCTGGTTCGGTGGTCGCACCTAAGATCTTCCCGCGGCTCCGCCTCTTCCTAGGCTCGATTGGCCCATGACGGGGCTGGTTTAGTTCTGCCTTGGGTCTCTCACCTTCTGTTGGTGGTCAGGTGGTTTCATTCATGGTGTCCCACCTGCGAGCTTCTTGGCGGCAGTGTGGGTTTTTTTGGCGGTCCTTCCTTTTCCTTCTGTCCCTTCTTCGGTAGCTGCATTTGTTGGCATAGTCTTGTCCTTCTCTTGTGGAGGTTTGGGGTTGTCATCTTGCCCCATACTGTCGCCTCGTATCCTGCGGTGCTGACGGAGCTGCTTCAGTTTGCTTTCGGTATTGGTGTTACGTCTGTGCCGTTTCCCGAACGGGTAGGTAGTTCGGGAACTACCTACCCGGTAGGTAGAACGGCTCGGGGAAGATAACCCCTGAAGCCGCAAGGGCAGTACTTACAGGACACCTAGGAAAGGCGGCCCTAGGTGCATGCAGCCCCAGTACTCTTTTTGTTACTCCTGGCTCGCACAATACCATAACTGAACAACAACACCGCACTGCAGCAATGCTCAAAGGATGGAGCCAGAGTCGATCGACCATTCACCCTCACAACAGCCTGTAAACCGAGGAGAGTTGCCGGCGTGGAGGTCTGGGGACCCCCCCTCCCCCCGTCCCCCTCCCATGGGGGGGGGTTGTGCAGACGGATGTGTGGCGTGTGTGGTGACGTCATACTTGTTTCCTTGGTTTTTATTGGAGAGTTCTGTTGCTAGTTCGGCTTTCGGTTTGCAAATTATTTAATCAGCAGTAGTTTGTTTTGGAATTCCTACCTTTCTGGGTGCCTGACCTGGTAGATGGCAGACAGAGACTTTCCAATTACACGGGGGTGTCTTTAGGCCGTTGCTCCTCGTGCCTCTCTTGAGGGGGGACAGGTTCTGGCTCTGGTCCCCGATAGGCCTAGAACTCCTTCAATTGACTGTTGCCTCAGTCTAATATATACACATCAGCCCGGTATAGCTCCGGAGAGCCTCCAGGTCTCACCCAGTAAATGGCGTTTCATTCCATTCAACGCTGGTTTTTTACAAAACCTTTTCTGGTTTGTCCAAATTCTGTAGAACCAAATTTTCTTTCTAATTGTCCATTACATCAACATATGTACAATGGTCCACATTTTAACTATAAGTATTATCTAAACAGGAGAATGGGTTGAACATTGAAAAGATGAAAATGGTATATTCTATATTAATCATGTAAGTAATACTTCACATTCTGGGAGATTTGACATAAGTGGACAATATTAGAATGTTTTATGCTCAAGACTGTTTTCATTATTCTAACGCTGAAATGAGATGACCACTTTGTAGTGCAATATGTTCTTCCCCGTTTTACCTTGCATCGCAGTCACACAATGTCACTTTTTATTTTGAAAAGTTTGTAAAGTTCTTCAATCTCCTGCTTCATTAATCAGATATAATTCAGATTTTGCAGTGAAGACTATTAAGCATTTTTGTATTCTCTCAGGATTCTTTTGCTGTGGAGAAAAGGGCTGAGGTTATGATTTTTACCTGCAAGGAGATCATGGATCACATCACTGATAATCTGTTTACACAAACTGCCCAGACATTGTCTGACCCAAAGTAAGTCTTTTGTAAGCATGCTTTAGTAGACTGGAATCAAATGAGTTAAATTTCTTCCGTTAAGTGCATGCATGTAATAAAAATATAATATTTATACTGTAATAATAATTGTTATCAAGAGTGAACATTCCATTATTACTCATGAAGAACATATATATTTCACCCCACAGAGTGACTGATCCTGAGGACATGAAGAACAAGTACATACGTGTACTTGCCTCTTCCTTAAATGCTGTGAGCCTTCTCTTGACTGCCACAGTTAAAAGCACAGAGAAGAAACCACAAATAATATTGATGATATCCACTCTTGTAGAAAACCCATCATTTTGGAAAATACCAAAAAATAAGCATCCTATGGTAAGAGTTTGCAAATCTTGTACGTAAGAAAAAATCACCTAAATAAGATGTGGGACAGTTTAGACCAATTTTCTAATCGGTATCACTTGGTTGCTCTTAAAGAAAAGGTCTACTGACTACTCATTATGATTTTGTAATACCGGGTAAGGTTAACATTCTGCATTGGCATAACGGAACTTTTCAAACTGTTTCTGAATGACCCCAAATGTCCCACTACCCCTGACAGCCACTAGGTGATAACCTGACAACATAACAAAGTCCTTTTATCCAAATTCCTCACATTTGTTTTCTGACTGGGCCCTGTTGTTCATTGTATGGGCAGATGGAGACCAGAACTGTTCACTTAAGTGACTTGTTTTTTTTCCTTATGATCTTAATGTTTCATATGTGCTTTGATTCCTTGGAACTCTATACACATACCCTATACAAATTTATCACTGGTTTTTCTAGTGTAACTGCTTCATGCTATTTGAAGGATTGCAGGTAAGGTTTAGCTTCTGCTCCTTAGCAAGACTTGACGGCGAGCCCTTATTCTGCAACTGGAAGAAAAAATTGATTCTAGTTTCCTTTTACCCTTCTGGGTTCTGTCAAAGTGGTACGTATCTACATATGGACGTACCCTTTATACATTCAGTACATATATATGTACGTACTGTACACACACACATAGAGGGTCCCAGTAATAGTCGGTTTCGTTCTCGACTCACAATTAAGAATTGTGGATTCAAAACCCAAGTGTGGCAGAAATGGTTGGGTGCATTTCCCATCACTTAATGCATCTGTTCACCTAGCAGTAAATAGGTACTAAGGAGTTAATCAGCTTGTTGTGGGGTTGCATCTTGGGAAGGGTCAGTAATTCGACCCCAGGGGGGGGGGACCTTGATATAAGCCTAACATGTACTGTACTGTATGTATAAACTGGCTGCCTGTCCCCCCACACAATGAATTATCATCTCCAGGTCACAGGGATTATATATCCTCCATTTTTAAATATGATGCATCATCCTTCCAGCAGTTCATCATGCCTACTTGCAGACAGTATTCCAATTCTCTCCTACATGTGACACAAGCTAAGTAGGATAGCTTCCTATTACACAATGGTTCTCATGCATTTAGACTGGACTGGTTCATTTTGAGTTAGTCTTCATCTGCTTTATAGCTGCATTACCTGGCCCCCAGCAGCTCAATGTCTAAGTTTCACTGTTATCACAGCAACTCATTGCTACAGATTTAAAAGTGCACACTTACTTGCTGCATGTTCCTCTTCTCTCCACTATTGGCCCAGATGAAGTTGTATGGTTGAGTTGCCAGTGTTTGATTTTGTAAGAGCTGTGGTTCATCTTATGTTGTTTGCTCTACTTCAAGATTATTTGTGTTGACTTCTTATCACACATTTTTCCTGCAGGTTCACTTCATTGATACACTTCCTGAAGCCTCCATTTAACTGTCTCACTGTTGAATTGTTTACCCATCCTCTGCTTTTATCTTAATGAATAAGTGCAGTGGATGTTAAGTGAGTTAGGAGGGTGCTTCCAACCATCGAATCACATGTTCCAATGGTAACTTGCTCTTCTTCACTCTGGGGAGGTGGGTGTAACATTGCTTCCCATTTTCTGTGCTTTTACCTCTTTTGGCTTGGACCCACAGGATCTTGCTTCACAGAAGGAGTATGGTTTCTTTTGGCAGCCATTTCATTTCAACTTTCATGATTCGGTTTCATCTCTTCATTTGGGAAGAGGGACTCTCGTAAGAAAATGATGATCTTATATTTTTAAGGGTCAACATGATCATTCTTGGACCTCCAAGATGTCTTCTGAGATACCAATACTGGCAGTTTTTTTTTTTATAGTTAAATCTGCCATTTGGGTGCTATCTCTCAGCTTTAATATTGTTCCTACGATTTTTTTTTGTGGTTACCAGAGTGATTCTTTTGGAACTTCTTGAGGAATCAACATCTTGGGCTAAGTTGATGACTGACTCTTTTGGGGTCCTAATCTGATACAGTGTGTTGACTGTGCTGAGCTGTTTTGGGATTTATTATCATTGAGTGGAAATCCTAGCTCTAGCCTTAACAAAGTCTCTCATTAAGGCTTGTGTGAGATACCAGAGTAGCCTCCCTTCCCTCTATGGCACAGCCAGCTTTATCTTTTCCCAGCTTCTCATCGTTAGCTTGTTCTTAGGAAGCTCTGGCAATCTTGTGAGATTACTTGGCTAGTTGAGCTTTGCCTGTGTGGTGTATCCACATGGCTATATCTTACTGAAGGCTATAAATTGGATTTTGCATTTTTGTGATCTTTTTCTGTGTGGAGACCCTTTGACTCCCTGGAGCTATCGGACTTATATGCAATATATTAGTCTAGGGCATTAGTCAAAGGAGTTCAGCCTACTAGGGACCACGAGCCAGAACCTGGCCCCCTCAGAGAGGCAAGGGAACAATGGCCTCTGGAAACTCCCATGTGGTTGGGGGTATTTCTTGTCTGCCATTGACCAGGGTTAGGCACCCAGAACAGTAGGCATAACAGAACAAACCCCCAACGTGGTAATAAAATTGCAATCGAAAACTGAACAGGGAGGCAGAACTCATTCAGCTCTCTAGGAAACAAGCAAACGTCATGCCACCGCTGCAGTGCTGCTTGTTGCAGCGTCCCCCCCTCGCCCTCGGGAGGGGGAGCCCCAGACCCTAGTTCGTTGGCTGATGCGCTCTGGGGCAGTCGTCAACTCTGGTCTCAATTTCTTGGCAGTGTTGTGCCTTAGTAGTGTTTCCTGTTGTGTTGTGGTGATGATGGCCAGGTGTAACATCAGTGTACTGGGGCTACAGTGCTTAGGACTATCTTCCCTAAGTGCCCTATAAGTACTACCCCTGGGTGATAGGGTTCTCTTCCATAGTGCCTTCGGGACTCCACTTCTGTAGGGGTTCTTGCTACTCGGCATTTACTCTGCTTTTGGGACCAGCTGGGGTTTTGTGGCCTATGTTTGGCCTTGGGTAGGAAGTGGTGGTGTTGCTGGTTGAGGAGCATGGTGTTGTACAGCTTGCCTGCCTACGCAGCAGCTGTGTTTCTACTTCCTTCCTCTGGGGACGTTGTACTTTTGTGGGGGTTTTCTTTTATTTTCTTTGCCTGGTGGGGGGTCTGCCTTGTTTGGCTATTGGTCCACTTATGATATTTTGGTGACCCTCTGCAAGGCCCCTGTGATTGTACATGTGACAGGGGTTTCAGTGTTTTAGATCATCTCCCCTTGTTAGTTCTTGGGTATAAATGGTTTTGCAACACCTTGCCTGGGCTTCCCATAACAGCAAGCCTGCGAGCCCTGGAAAACCCTGTTGGGGCTCGGTGGACCAATGGATGCATCTTCCGGGTTCCAGCTCGTCTCGTGCTAGTTAGTGCTAGACAGATTCTTAGTAAGACAAGCAAGCAATGAACCACAACCAGGTCCAAGTGGTATGCATGAAAAACGTAGGAGAGAGAGTACCCTAGAAATGTTATCACTGCCTGATGTTATAATGGAATATTAATGGGTACCATGGCATGAGTGAAATTGTAATATTGTTAGAAGTGATTGATTATGGTTATGCATGAAGTAGGAATTCATAATTAACATTAGTTTAAATAAGGATATATATTTTATTTTGCAGGTGCGGAGTGCATGGTTTTCTACAGTCAAAGACATGTTTGAATACGACCCAAAGCTGCTTGGTAATTCAAGAACGGAACTTAGCAGTGCCATTATTCCAGCTTTGGATGATCAAGATGGCACTGTACTGCCTCATATATGGATAGCTTTCCTACATCTCTGTGTTACTCATCCAGTAAGTGTTAAAGTTCCCTTACTTATAATGGATTGAAGTAGGAATTTATTATAACATTGGCTGGTGGCTTAACCCTTAAATGATGACCTATGTCAATTGATATATAAAAACTTATGCCAGTTGGCATTTTTCACTACTTCAGTATAAAATCATTTAAAAATTTGGTTCAAATCATAAATATTTACAATTACCAAGATTTGCATTTCTCTGGCTATTATTACCTAATAAAAATGTAACTTTCCTTTTATATGGAAGTCATTAATTAACAAAAAATTTTTGTTAATTACATTCATAATTTTGTTTAAGTTTACCATAAACTATTTGTGATTTTTTTTTAATCATATAAGAGAAAATTTAAAATTTTTAGGAAGCATTTCTAACAAAAACTAAGGACTTCACTTGGCAAAATCAAAATTTAAGTACAGTACAGTAATAGGAAATTTTGAATGTCCAAGGTAATATATGATATTTTGTTCAAATTTTTGTTCCATTCCTATATTTTAAACTCTTCTTTTATTATTATTGTAATAAAATTTTGCGTATGGGGTTCACCCAGCTATTAACAGTATAAATGTAATCCCTAAAAAGCATCTTAAATGATATTATCAACTTATTATTGTCCTATTAAAACCTACGATGTTGGTTATCTCATGTAGTCAGATCTTGATACCATGTTGCATTATTTTGTTCAGTAAAACAGATTTCTGCTTGATCAAGGTTTTCATAAACTTTATACATTTATAAAAGTTTACTTAAAAGCTGTATATTGAGGTTATATTATGTTATGCTTAAAGTTTTCTATTAACCCTTGTGTTGCTCAGGGCTAATTAGCATTTGTCACCCACAGGCGTATACCAAAAAAAAAAAAAAATTCTTCTGAACCTGTTTGTGTTCTCTGATCATGGGAAAAATAATAAAAAAAATCGTAAGTGGCAGATATTGCCCGCTATAGGGCGGGGAAGTCTGGCAAAAAACAGGCGCTGACTCAGCGTGCGTCCCAGATGGTCTATTGCTCCCAGCTGTCAGGCAGGAGTGGCCACAAAGAGATAATTACCTAATTATTTCAATGTCTCTGATTGATTTTTTGTAGTTTTTTTGCTGTTATATTATTCAATAGTGTGTAGTGTGATATATTTATATAATAAAATGAGTGAATCATCGCTGTACTCAAAATTATCGTGTGCATATTGTTGATTCAATTATTATGTTCATCAAACAGTGAACAAATACTTTGTCAGTTATTACACTATATACACAGGTTATATATAAGTATCTGCATGTTTTGTTCACAATAATGAACCACTAAGTTGGTATTATGAATCAAAAGCAACAAGGAGTGACCGCCACACACCAGCCAGCTACTCGCTGCCACTTACTCCCTCAACACCTCACTCGCCCACATTCTCCTTCCACCATACTGTTTTTGCTTTTATTCACTATATACAGACATTATATATAAATATCTACATTTGTGTTCACCATAACGAACCACTAAGTTGGCATGCTCAGTGGCAGTGGCAGCCCGCCACTGGCTGCTACTTCCTCCCTTCCGCAACTTACCTGACTTACCCACATTCTCCTCCCACAATACTGTTTTTGCTTTTATTCACTATATACAGACGTTATATATAAGTATCTACATGTTTTGTTCACCACAACTGTACAACTAAGTTGATATAGTTAGTTCAGGCACTAAGAGACGTCGCTACACACAGCTGCCTTCCTCGCACATTCAAGGTCAGACGCACTAAAATTTCACCCCAACAATACTGTTTGTGGTGTTATTACTCTATATACAGACATTATGTATAAGTATCTACAAGTTCTGTTCACCATAACTGTTCAACTAAGCCGGTATAATCCCCAAAGAGCATAGTGGCCACCCCTACCAACTTACAAATCGTGCAGATGTTGCCAACCCCCATCACCAAAATGGCTTCTTCCCCACACTCATTTTGCTGTTATTACACTGTATATACACATTATATATAAGTATCTACATTCATGTTCACCATAACGAACCACTAAGTTGGTATGCTGAGTGGCAGTGGCAGCCTGCCACTGGCTGCCACTTTCTCCTTCACCTCACCTCACCTGACTCGCCACCATTCTCCTCCCACCATACTGTTTTTGCTTTTATATACAGATGTTATATATAAGTATCTGCATGTTTTGTTCACCATAGCGAACCACTAAGCTGGTATAGAGAGTCCAGACAGTAAAAGGTGGTCACACAGAGTCAGCAGACAATGCTACCTCCCTCCCCACCAAGATTGCTCCTCCCACTACAGCGTTAATTATCACAACAATCCTGCTATTATCAGAATCCTGGTCATTTTTATCACAGTAAAGGGTCTTCTGTAATAATTTCATCGCCTAATAATAGCATGAACATGTATATTATGGCATTTTTAGGCGATGCTGTGGTCACAAGCTGAACAGCAGTGCTGTGAGCTCATGCTGCGTGCGTCAGCCTTGGTGGTTCACTCAATACTGAGGCCCTCACACCCGGGAATTTGGCTCACGATTTAAAAAAAAATGGCGTCTGTTTACAAGAGCCCTGATGAAGGTGAGGTGAACCCCGTGTATCCGTGGGCCGTTTAAATCTTGCGTAGTACTCCAGTACATCATATGATGGGATGCGCATTTTATAGCAAGTCACTCAACCCATCGTATGATGTATTGCGCAACTTAATGGTGTGCAAAATATAATAAGGGTACTGTACAGTGCTAACAGAGAGTGTAAAGAAATTTGTATGGAGAGGTACGTGGTTGACTATATTGCTTTGATATTTTAGTGTTTTCTTATTTCATCAATAAATGATTTCTTTTCATAGTAATTTATACTGTCTACATACTGTAGTATATTTATCATTATGTGAAACATTTAATTAAAAAAATGCAATATTATCTTGAAGGAAATCCTCTAGCTTCCTCAGCTAAGCATTTGTCTAGCCAAACCTTAAGAACATGCACCAGGTCTTTAAGGCCCACTCTTGCATAACAGAAGTTAAGATCAGACTCGGACTGATCTTATGAGGCAAACGAAACTTGAGGCTCAGATCAACCCAAACTGAGAAAAAGGCATCAGAAGCATAAATCAGGCCATAAATGGGCTGGACTCAGTAAGCAAGGGAAACCAACTACAGTACCTGGGCTGTAATGCTGATAGGCAGGTGCTCCAAGTATGCGGGACGCATCTCGGCTGAACAAACTGCAGCCATAAGCAATCGACGAGATAAAGCATATGCAGTCATGGACAGAACATTCGAGTAACTTACTTGAGCATAACCTATGTGAAAGCAAAGAGCCCCACACAAATATAGGAGTCAAGTTATGCATGATTACATTGCATTAATCAGTGCACAGCTAACCACTATACCCTTCAACAGACCTCATAACATAGAGCAAGTCCCGTGCACTGCTCTGAAACAAGGTGATTTAAAATGTGTCGACTAGTAGAGGCAGAATGCAAACTAATCTGAGCAGGTATCTCTGGTGGAGCAGGGAAAATGTAGCCAACCACCAAGGAAGGGAACCCTGGCTCTCAGAGCAAAATATGAAACCAAGGCACACACAATATGAGTACAGGGGTACCTTAGTTTAAGAGTTTAATTCGTTCCTGGAGACGGCTCATATTCTGAAAACTCGTATTCCGAAGCTAATTTCCCCATAAGAAATAATGGGAAATGAATTAATCCATTCCTGACTACCCCAAAAACCCCACATCAAACTAAACTTTATACCTAATTCATCTAAATAAACCTAAAAAACTATGTTCAAGTTATTACTTACCCTTGCTGAGGACTGTATTACTTACCCTTGCTGAGGACTGCTGTTGGTGTATGGAAGATATGAGGAGGAGGAGGGAGGAGGAGAGGTGTTACTGTTTGGAAGGGGAGTCTCCTTCCATTATAACATCAGGCAGTGAGGACTTCACTGGTATGCACACTCTGGCACATTTTGCCTGCATACCACTAGGACTTGCTTGTTTTACTAAGAATCTGTCTAAAGACACTTGTTTTTCCCTACATTTTAACACTTGTCTGTATTAAGACATCACATTGTCATTTAAAAGGTCAATGCAATGGCCTGCTACAGCTTTATCTGGGTGTTTTTTCAACAAAACTTTGCAGTTCTTCCCATACTTCTCTCATTTTCTTAATCGAGAAGGGACATCCTCTACTGCCTCTACTCACAGCTATTTTCTTAGGTTGAACCTTACCAATGGCTTTCTTGAGACCCATGGCGAGATATATAATGACAACTTTTATGCTCAAATGGCCAAAAAACCGACAAACAACTGTAAATCCTAGTGAAGAATTCAGGTGGGATAGTCACTGGGTGCGAGACACTAGTAAACTGAGGCGCGATCGCCGTGCCACCATGCGCTAGTCGGCCTGTACACATAACAAACTCGTGTTCCAAGGTAACCCTCACCTTCCGAGACACATTTTCCGAGGAAATCCTGCTCGTATTCCGAAAAACTCGCATACAGGGACACTCGTGTTCCGAGGTACCACTGTACCAAACAAAATTGTGAAGAGAAACACTGACAGTGTCTTTGGTTAGGTTGCTCCAGGGAGCCGGAGAGGCTCCCCACAGAAAACCAGCATTGAATGTAATGAAACGCCATTTTCTGGGTGAGCCCCGGAGGCCCCCTGGCACCCTCCCCTCCCTCCGGTCGGCAGTTTTGTTTTTGATGTTCAGCCTGCGAACTGAAGATGTTAGTAGCTCTCCCCCTCCCCCTCCCGGGGAGGAGAGGGCTGTGCAGACAAGCGACACGGTGGTGTGTGATGTTTGCTTGTTTGCAAGTTTCTTTGTTTTGGGGAGTTCTGCCTCTGTTCGGTCTTCAGTTGCAATTTCTTATCAAGTGGGGTCAGTTTTGTTATGCCTATCTTTTTGGGTGCCTAACCCCAGTCGATGGCAGACATGGAATGTTCCCAAACACTTGGGGGTTTCCTAGGCCATTGCACCCTGTGCCTCTCTGAGAGGGGCCGGGTTCTGGCTCGTGGTCCCCGGTAGGCAGAACTCCATTGACCGATGGCCCCCAGACTAACATAATGTGTATCAGTCCAATAGCTCCAGGGAGCCTCCGGGGCTTTCACAGAAAATGGCATTTCATTACATTCAACGCTTTTTTTTTTTTTTTTTAATACTATGCTAATAAAACAGTTTAAGCTCCAAGTTTTTAAGGAAATAATGGACACAGATGATGGTTCTGATTCCTTCATTCCTTCTTATTCTGCAGGAATTCTGGGGAGATAAAAGCAGCAGGTCAGTTTTCAAGCGAATGTATTCAGTAATGCGTGATGGAGCCCGAGGCAGTGCCGGGGAATGGTATCCACAGTTACTTCCTATTATTAGTGTCATCCCAGAGGAAGCTATGGATGATAAATGTACATTTTACACTGATTTCTTCAGAGCTATGACAACTGGGTATGTTTATATTTGAACTACATGGTTTGTGTTTGCTGGGTGCAACATGTCATGCAACAAAAATAAAAATTCCATTGTGGCTACAACACTTCCAATGACAGTCCTCAACTTGTGTTTTCTTTTTTCATATTTTTATTTGCTATTCCAGTACACAGTACCCTCATTTCTGATCAATTTATAAATTTCTGAACATAATGCTAACAGTCATTAAATAATGTACATAGAAAATTAGTTGTTGTATTTTCCAATAAAACTAAAATCGAGTAAAAAATCATGTTGCACTTGTATTGCCTTTGTTTTATATGATTATTCATGCATGGTAAATGAACATTGGCCAGTATATATAGATCCATCAAGAGTAAATTGCACTGAAATTGGAAGATTTAAACCCTTTATATATATATATATATTTGTATTTTCTATAGCTATGTACTATATTCAACATACATATTGGCATATTAAATACTAATATAATTAAGCTTGATAAAATAAGGTTTAAGTAATATTTTTTAATATTTTCTTTCTTTTTTCAGATTACTGAAAGACAGAATTTTATCCAATAGTAGAGATGTATCCTCGGTTATAATATCCCTGTTTGAGTGCCTTTCTTTTGTTAGCAAGAAAGTGAACGACCCACAACTTTGGGATGCCCTCATGAAATACCAGGTAATTGTAATACATACATTAAAACATGTATACTCATATACAGCACAGTAGCTTTAATAGTTCAGAATATTTGAGGAATAAAACAGTCCTGGTTTCATGATTTTTTCTGATTTTTAGCTATCTTCATGCTATCCTAACTTGTGGCATATTTTTCTGATGTTCTTTCATTTTCCTTAATGGCTTTTAGAATAATATGACACAATTTATGGGTGAATTTATATACAGTACCGTACTGCATACTAAACAGCCAAATCGCTCTCAAAAGATACAAAATAAACAAATGGAAAAACACAAAACTAGCTTAAGCCAGTTAATGTCGAATGCCGCCACTAGGTGACCCAGAACTCGCTCGAGCATCAGCTATCAAATCATTTCGGAAGCAGATGAACACCGTAGTGAACCAATGAACATGAAAGGGAGGGAGGGGGACTGGGAGCCTCAAGGGCTCTACCAGAAAGAGGGTTTCATTACATTCAACACTAGATTTTTGGAGGAGCTCCTTGGTAACTCCCTGTAGCTGAATAACCAGAGAGAAAATTAGAGGGACTTACTAGAGAGGAGGGGAGGCAGCAGGCACTGTTGAAGTAAAGACCAATGACCGGGAAACACAACCCAGGGCAACATAGGACCGAAGAGAACAAGAGACATTGGCAAAATACCTGGCTGCCATGACCTTGTTAGCCTGCCAAAAACCCCTGAGCTCAAATATCCTTACCTTGAGGTGCTTCCAGGGCTTAGCGTCCCTGCGGCTCGGTCGTCGACCAGGCCTCCTGGTTGCTGGACTGGTCAACCAGGCTGTTGGACACGGCTGTTACAGCCTGGTTGATCAGGTATCCTTTGGAGGTGCTTATCCAGTTCTCTCTTGGACACTGTGAGGGGTCGGCCAGTTATGCCCCTTACGTGTATTGAAAGCGTGTTGAACAGTCTCAGGCCTCTGATGTTGATTGAGTTCTTCCTGAGTACCTTGTTGCACCTCTGCTTTTCAACGGGGGTATTCTGCACATCCTGCCATGCCTCCTGGTCTCATGTGATGTTATTTCTGTGTGCAGGTTTGGGACCAGCCCCTCTAATATTTTCCATGTATAAATTATTATGTATCTCTCTGCCTGCGCTCAAGAGAATACAGATTTAGGCTCTTTAGTCAGTCCCAGTAGTTTAGATGTTTTACTGAGTGGATTCTAGCAGTAAAGGATCTCTGCACGCTCTCCAGATCAGCAATTTCTCCAGCTTTGAAAGGGGCTGTCATTGTGCAGCAGTACTCCACTCTAGAGCACACTAGCGTCTTGAAAAGTATCATCAATATAACATCTCTAGTGTGAAAGGTTCTTGTTATCCAACCTGTCATTTTTCTTGCAGTTGTGACGGCTACTTTATTGTGTTCTCTGAAGGTAAAGTCTTCCGACATGAGTACACCCAAATCCTTTACGTTGTCTTTTCGTTCTATGTTATGATTTGCCTGAGTTTTGTACATGAGCTGGAACTTATCTTTGTTAAACACCATATTATTTTCTGTAGCCCATAGAAAAACCTGATTTATGTCTGATTAGAGGTTTGCTGTGTCTTCTATGTTGTCTACACTCCTGAAAATCCTAGTGTCATATGCAAAGGATGATACAGTAGACAAGGATTGTGTCCTTGTCTATGTCCGATATGAGGATGAGAAAAAGTACTGGAGCAAGCACAGTACCCTGGGGGACTGAGCTCTTCACAGTTGATGGACCGGATTTGATTTTATTGACTATTACACATTGGGTTCTGTTAGTCAGGAAACTGTAGATCCATCTGCCTATTTTTCCGGTAATTCCTTTTGAATGCATTTTATGTGCAATAATACCATCATCACATTTGTCAAGGGCTTTTGCGAAATCTGTGTAAATTACATTAGCGTTTTGTTTCTTCCATGGCATCTAATGGCATGTCATAGTGGTCCAGCAACTGTGACAGGCAAGAGCGCCCTGTTCTGAAACCATGTTGTCCGTGGTTATGGAGATGCTGTGATTCCATGTATTTTGTGATCTTGCTTTTTAGCACTCTCTTAAAGATTTATATGATGTCATAAACTTCCTGCACCCTGCATCTCGTAGGAAGGGTGGTGAAGTTTTGTCTCTGGGTCCTGGTAGATAAATGAACTTGACTTGTGCAACTGGTGTGACTGGTAGATTAGAGCAATGTCAGTGAGATAGAGAACCACTATGGGGCTCCCCTAAAAAAGTAATTATCTGGTACCAAACATTCTAATAAAAGATATTTTAGGAAGAAATAATAAATCTCACTACTGGACACTCGCTCGTTATCAATTTTATTCTGAATGTTACATGCAATTTTTTTTTTTATTGCTGAACACAAAGCATTATTAAAAGTTTTAATCAAATATAATTTAAAATACAGTACAGTATAAATAATGACTTGTATGACTTTTATATATTTACAGTATAAACTAATGACTTGTGATAATACAATTTTCTAAATTGCAAAAACATTTAATACTGTATACAGATTTTTATGAGTAAATCTGCTATATTAATATAATATTTAATTTCAGGTGGTTGAGCTTTTGAGATCATCTTTCATTGACACGCCACAGTTAAGCACCTCCAAACTTTACCGTGAAGTTGCTGGGCTGCTGCGCTTCTTCTCGTGGAAATCTCAACATGAAGAAATCAAGTTTTTGAGTTTTCTTCTTGACCTTTTTTGGAAAAAATTTATTCCAGAGTGTGAAATCCTAATTCATCAAGGAAATGAGACGACGGTGTCAAAAATGATAAATTTTTTTAATGTTTTGAGGAACCCTGATTCTAAATTCAGCCACAGAAGAGAAGGAATTAAGTTTAATGATGAAGTTCAATTAAAAGTCCAGCATGCTGATGACGATCTTAAAGATAAAGATGAGAAAGAAAAGATTTTCTTGGAAAATACTGGAATGAAGATTGCACCATTAACACTTTCTTGTCACACTACATATATGCAGGAGAAAAATGTGTCAATTTATAACATGTTTTCAGTTTTACTCTCCTCTTTCCCATCACCAAGTGTTTACAGTGCTCTTTTATATGGTCTAAGTGAAGAGAAACTTGCTAATACTAGAGAAGTGCTTGAACAGGTGATTCTGCCCAAAATGGAAGGAGAAAATCCGTCCATTTCTCAACCCACCATTAATATATTCATGAGTTTATATGTTTTGATGGAACAAGATGAGCAGAAATTAATATTGATGAATTTCAAGGTAATTTTTGTGTTTTCATGCTAATACACCTGTAATACAGTATATATTTTCTGTCTTTTTCTGATTGAGACCAGATGACAGCACCATCTCTACCTTCACATTCCTCATCACATTCTTCCTGACTGTACTGCATTATGGTTAAGTACCTTGGCCAGGATTCAACAAGCATTACTTACGAACCTGTACATCTTTTCTCACTTTTTATCGGCTTTGTTTATATTAAATAGTTTATGAGCATAGAAACTTTCTAATCTGATGTGTTATAAACAGTCCCTTAGTGCTTTGAAGCTCGTAAACTGTTTAGTAAATGTAAACAAAGCCGCCAAAGCTGGGAAGTGCTTGTCCTCATGATCACCTTCAATCCCTCTGCTTGATGCAGGTCCTAGTGACTGGTCCTTACTCATTCAGGTTTAGGTTGGTCAGAGTGTAGAGGTTATGTTCTCTGTTTCTCCTGTACCTAAGGGGGTTTAAAAAGAGCTGAGCCATCACTTATGCTTGATGGTTCTCCCACATGAGGGGTGGTCTGCTGCTCTCCATTGGAAGTTCAGCTCCTGTGAATAACAAAAATAGAAGCCTTTGTCACTAATCTGGAACTAGGAAACTATTTGCTCCATGACAGGACTTAAGGGTTTACTCTTCTTCACTGAGGGATGAGGAGGGTCTCTAGCATATTCCTTGGCTTGGTTTGATTATGTAGCTATCTTATTTCAACTTCAAGACATTCATTGATCCTGTAGTTGATGCTAATGTTCCAATGTATACTGAACCTAATCCCAGTTTCACAATGCTGTAGCTTAGTTTCACCAGGACTTGCAGCATTTCTCTTAAAGGCCAGAAACCAGGCATCTGAATTTAAGTCTGCTCTGCTGGAGCTTAGTTGTTGCACTGCCTCTTGGCATCAGTTCTGGGTCTCCACTTCCTCTTGGCAAACATTACTTTATTTTCAGTAGGGAGAATGGCTGCTAATTTGTCAGTCTACTCTTCTTGATTGGACTGCTATAGTGCTAATATATCAAATTGAGTACTACACACATCAGTTGCAATACTTACTTCAGGAAGCTTTTTTGTTTGCCTATCTTTTGAGAGATAGTCCTCAGGGAAGGGGAGAGGGTTAATAATTCAGAGATATATACTTATGTAAATGAAAATGTGTTGGAGTTTAGATACTCTGTAATTTGTTTCACCAGAGGGTATACTATTATTGGAAATTATATTTGTTGACTCGCAGTTTTGAGGGCCGAGTCCTTCAAATTATTATTATTATTAACATCTTTATTGACAAAATTAATTGCAATTTTGCCTAATCTGAGGATTTTAATAAAGCCTTATTAAAGTGAGGATAATGTTGGTATTAAGGCCATGTTTTGTTTAGCTTGACACTTTTGTTGGAAAATAATTTTAGTATTAATCATTTTGCAGGAGGATTTATGTGAATTGTGTTGTCTTTGAAATAAGATACTATCATGTAAAATATATGGTAATGTAGCAGGCACAGTATTAAATATTTGCTCTAAAACATAACTATTTTCAGCCATGTTTGTCTGTAAGTGCATTGCGGCTGCTGATTGAGAAGATGACAGAGCGCAGGGAGAGTGACGAAGTGGCCGCAGCATGGTTATTGTCATCACAGTTGGGTTGCAGATTAGTCCAATTAGTAGATAGACTCTGTGGTCCTGTCAAGATATTAACATCAACTCAGCACTTGATGCAGCAAGATGAACTTATTTCCCTATTCAATTTTGTACTTAGAAATGGAAACCAAAAAGGTAGGCATTTTTATGGCGTTACTTTTTCATAATTTGCAATATCCTGTACTACCTTGATTGACACACACACATTGTTAGGTTTACTCCAAAGGGATACTTTTATAATGTTCAGTGAATATATATACGTATTTTGTTTTTATTTTTGTTGCAAAATGGATGATATCTGGAGAAAAACTCTGCTTATCAATTTAAAACTTTATAAACATGTATGGTAGGGCAAGAAAGATCTATAGTGTTATTGGGCCATTTATTCCCTCGTGCCAAATTTTAGAAGTACAGTGGAACTTCGGTATTCGTTCAGCTCCCAATTTGTGCTTTTCGGCATTCAGACACCGTATTCATGTTCGGTATTCGTCTATTTGCTCGGCATTCACATGTAAACACGCGTCCCTGATGCATCAATTTAAGTGTGAATGTTAGCAGAAATACTCAATGATGGTTAAGTATACATTTACCTGTATAAATCTTTTCTTTGAATGGTTTTAATAGGACAGAATTTGAGATTTACTATCATAAATCTCATTTACTATCATAAATCTCATCTTCATTATTGAATAAATTATTTGATTTATGATCTTCGTATTTTGTTTTTGTTCTTACACCTAATATTTTACTTCTCAAACATTGTAATTAACTGATCATTTAGTGATACAACCCTATTATAATGCTTTCCCTTCAACAGAACCTGTGATAGCCATGGACTACATATCACAGATTCTCACCAAACTCAGCATCAACCTTAGAGTCAGTGCTCCTAATGGAAGTGAACCAGAAGAGAGGATTGTGCAGTTAGTGGCAAATTTGGCAGGACAGCTATTCGGCAGTTACGTATGTTGGCAAACACGAGGCATCCATGAATTTATGAAGTCATTGTTTTTGTTGCTTTGCCAGTCTTCAAAATCCCTCTCAGAAGACACAGTTGACTTGATCAAGATAACCTTCCTGAAAGGTTTTCAAGGTTTAATTACATCAGTTGCAGAAGATAATCCAGATAAGCTTTTGGAAGAAGGCAGTTGTCTTAGTTCAACTTTAAAAGATATTAAGCAAACTGTGCTGGAGAGCACTTGCACGTACCATTTGACGATGACTATGGCTGAACTTACACAAGATCTCATGAGGATGGTATTTAATCAAGTGCCAAAAGAAGAAGATTGTAGCATCATCCTGGATCATAGTAAAACACAAGTTATGTTAGACTTGCTTATGCCCACTGAGGGAGAATGGGCAGACTTAGAAGCAGAGCTCTCGCCATTGTATGTGGCTCCTGCTGTTCTTCAGGGTACTATATCTTTGAGGGAATTTCCGTTTCCAAAAAGCATGCATGAAAGACAGAATTGGGAACATACTCATACACGCATGTCAATGTTTCTGTGCGACTTGCTGCTGTTCATGTGTGGCTCTGGAGATGATAATTTACTCCCTGTGAAGGAAGAGCAGGTGTCTCTTGGGAAGTACACTCACCTTGTTGTTTCAGCACTTCACTCCACCTGCCATGCAACTGTCATGCAAGAATTAAATGATTCCCTCCAGAATGTAAGTATGCTTACATGGATTCTCACATACCTGTTATGAAAGTTGACATTTTAATATGTAAATAGTAATCTAATAAAAAAAATTATATATGCAGCTCCCAATGTGTTCAATATGGGATGGGATTCTGTCCCTATTTACCTTCCCGTTGGTGTAGACCACAAGTCTCTATATTAATATAGTGTGTCTTCCAATCCTCCAGTAGAGGCCAACTGTTTATATTGCTGTGCTCTACTTTGCTTGATGGTTTGACCAACTAGTTCCTCTTGTGACTGGTAGCCATTGGTGGGTTATCTTTCTCCTGGCTCTCTGCCTTGTTTCAATGGTTTTCTTCATCTTTCATTGTACTGTACTTGCCTTTGTTCCCGGGGTGAATGGGGAAGAGGTACGTGGTGGTCAGTTCACATATTGTTGTCTTCTTTTCCTTATCACCTTTGTCATCTGTGTGGAAGTTTGGACCCCTCTCCCGTTTGACTCTTTTTTTTTTTTTTTTCTATTTGGGTTATGACTGTCAGTTTCTTCAGATCTATAGATTTCTATGCTGCTTCTATGATTTCCTGTGGCAACAGTAAATGGACCCTTCAATGTTTTTGTCTGCTTGTCTTTCTTTTTTGACATTCATGGCTATTCTTTCCAAATGCATTGAATATGGATGAAACGTTCCTTTTTGTGTGTCACTCAGGCTCTCTCTCTTTCGGCCCTCTCTTGGTCAGCTAGCCGAAGGTAGTTAACAGTAGCTGAGCATAACTTGGTGGTCCCTTTGATTTAAATTGTTTGGAAAAGGTTTTAAGTGTTGTGATATAATTTTCTGTGGTTCATACTGGGCTGGATTGATAATTCTCCACTGTCCTCCTTCCCCTACATGGGTGTTGCTTAGGTATTTAGAAAAGATCCCTGCTAAGCCAGAGTTAATAGATAGTCCCACTGACCCAGACTGGATTTGCAGTATCGTTGGTGAAGTGGAAGCTTGCTAAAGGAAGCAACTGCATAACCAGCTCAGAAAGGAACTTATCATATACACTCAAATCCTGATTTTTTAACACTAAAGTAAAAAGGTGACGTTAGGTTTCTGTGTTTAATACATCGTTATATATTTTTTTTTTTTTTTTACAGAATACGGTGTCTGAAGACATGAGAGTTGGTACAAATAAACTAAATGAGGACATGAAGTGCCTGATGAGATTGCTAAATCAGGGAAACAAGAGACTTATCACAAAACAAATAAAAAACAGGTTTGTAAGAGAAGAAAGGCCTTATTTAAACTAGGATAATCCATGTTAATCTTACACATAAGATAACTGTAGCATATTTTCTCCTGTAGTCTGTAAATAGCTGCCATTTTCACAAGTGAGACAGTACTGTATAGAACACTTTGTGCCCAAGCATGAAAGAGCATTCTGTTCATGCTTGTCTCCATAGAAGAACACTGTGACAGATGATAGCTGAAATTAACTGCAGGTAAAATGTAATTAACAGGTGCAGTGGAAGAAGAAACTGCCTATACAGTGCATTTCATTAGAATGAAAGAAGTGCTGGAATATATTAATGAGTCTAAAATATCTCTGGTGCTTGACTTGAGAGAAATTTATTGAAAGTTGTGTATAGAGTGAATTGTGAAAAGGAAAATAGTTGGTACAATACTAGCTGATTAAGAACACAGGAAAGGGTACAGGGAGTGGTTGTTCCAACCTGTACATATAGAATTGAAATGAGGGTGTGCCATCATCATGAAAACCCAAGAGTTTGAGTAATAGAGATGACTTCTCTAAGATGCATGTGTTGTGTTAGGTTGATTAAAAGAATTAGGGATCTACCAAAAAAATTTGGATACTACCAAAAAATTGTAGTGTAAGTCTGTAGCTTATAAAATTAAGGAAAATATGTCAAGATGATATTGTCATAAAGCAGGTTGTTAGGAAGGAAGGAGTGCTTATTTTTCTGAGAGAAGCCCTGTCGACTCCTAGGAGCTATCGGACTGATATTAACTATATTAGTCTGGGGCTTCAGTCATACGGAGTTCTATTCCTACCGGGAACCAAGAGCCAAAACCTGATTCCCTCAGAGAGGCGCAAGGAGAAATGGCCTATGAAAACTACATTTTGAGAGTATATTCATGTCTGCCATTGACCAGGGTTAGGCACCCAGAAAGGTAAGCACCCCAAAACAGACCACCAACTGGTAGAAAAGTGTAAGCTGCTTGCTTATGAAAGCAAGCAGCTTTCCCTATATATGTGGCACCCTTCCCTATATATGTGGCACCCTTCCCTATATATGTGGCACCCTTCCCCGACTGCGAAGCCGTCATTGTAAATGTAGATGCTCCAGGACTGGTCAAGGTGAAAAGCTGGAGAAAACCAGCTTTGAATTAATGAAACGCCATTTTCTGAGTGAGTCCCGGAGGCTCCCTGACACCCTCCCTCCTTCCGGTCGGCAGTTTTCTTCCGTTTGCTCAGTCTCTAAACTGGTGAGCAGGCGGCCGGCTCAAACATGCCGCGCGTCAGTTTGATGGCGATTTGCTTGTTACCTTGTTTTTTGGGCGGTTCTTGGGCTCTGTTCGATCATGGGCTGCAATTTTCTACCAGTTGGGATCTGTTTTGGGGCGCCTACCTTTTTAGGTGCCTAACCCCAGTCGATAGTAGATATGAATATACTCTCAAAGAGTGGAGTTTTCATAGGTTATTGCTCCCTGCGCCTCTCTGAGGGAAACAGGTTCTGGCTCGTGGTTCCCAGTAGGCAGAACGCCATGACTGAACGTGACTGAAGTCCCAGACTAATATAGCAAATACCAGTCCAATGGCTCCAGGGAGACTCCAGGGCTCACCCAGAAAATGCCATTTCATTACATTTAAGGCTGGGGGGGTTTTCCTGTCATCAGGGGAACACATTTTAACTATTAAAACAACAATAGTTTTTCAAGGGTTTATTTTTTTCTTGTTCACCAAGGGGTTGTCATTTAAATTGAGTGCACTGTGCATGGGTTAAGCATTGCATTCCCCTGTACTCATTTCACCATTCTATTTGTTTCCAGAGATGTGCTGGCCCACGGATACCTCTTTTAATTGGCTCCAATCAGAACATACATAGTTAATGAAAGGTTGATGCTAATTTTAAGATGCGTTTAAATCCAGTTTTCAGATTATAGCAAATTTATAGAAAATCCTACATGTCTCTAATTTTCATTCATTCTCACAGATGTAATGATGGCAGTAGTTCCTGGTGTGTTACTCTGATCAAAGTTCTAACAGACTGGATGAAATCTGAAGATGTTAACATCATGCGGCTGATGGAGGGCTTGGAAGACAGTGCACTTGGATTTACTGCAACCAAACAGGTATGAAGTACCAAGAAAAATATGAATTCAGTTCTGTTTTCTTTAATTTAACGAACAACTGTTAGATAAGTGATGATTTTATTTCACAAAAATCAGGCTTTATGAGCAAGGCACTTTGATGCTCCCTGAGGCAAGATGACACTGACCCATTGAATAGGCTCTTCATAGCGCAGCCCGTCCTTGTAAGATTTCCCAACTTCCAGAATATGGTCAATTTAAAGTGTCCTCTTCTAACCTACCAGACTAAGACAGAGGACTTAAAACAGAAAACGGGGTGGTACGTCACTTTTGTGAGCTCCTTCCATTTTCTAGTACAAAAATTTTTGGCCTTATGTAATGCATACGAGCAAAAAGCTACATTCTTTGTAGGAGAACAGGTTGTATAGTGACATTTTGTACTAGCACAGCAGTTATTTTTGCACATTATTGCTGGGTCATGCAATTGATAGGGAGGCACTGGAGTCTAGCTCAGTCTAGCCCAGAGTGAGTTAAGAAAACTTACTTATAAAAACTCAAAATTTTCAAAGTCTCGGTCAAGTCTCTGCCACTAGATGGCATCACCTTTACCAACACCAAGTCCCCTGCCTTGAGCTCTTATCACATTCTGATTGACACAAAATAATTCTGTTCACAAAGGAAAGGGGTAATGGGAGCATCTAATAGTGCTTATAAAGTAGCTTTTCATATACAGTGCTCTCAAAGCCTGATTTCTGAGCTATTCCTCTTGGATGCTCCCTGAGGCAAGATCGATGCAAAAGTGGCCACAAAAATTGCAAAAAACATAATTGAGGAAAACCTGTGCTGCTGAATGGAGTTCTAACAGTCCTGGGGCAGGAAGAAGATGAAAGTCTCCAAAACTAAAGCTGATGAGACCTTCGGACAAAAACAGATTCCTAGGAGGAGACCTGTCAAAGTACAACATACTGATGGCTGTCAGAAACCCTGAACTCAGATTTCAAAACAGGATTTCAACAAAAAGAACATCTTTAGAGGGGAAACATTTTGAACATAATGTGCATGAAGATTCACTTGTGGCTGACTCAAGTTGACCACTCCTGCAAAACAGTTTAGGTACTGTATATAGATCTTAGTACATGGCACCATGGTGCAAGGATTTAGGTAGACACACAGCTGGAATTTGTGCAGATGGCTTGAGATTTAGTAACAATGTGAGACCACAGCAGAATATAGTGTATGATGTATCCAAAGATGGACATACCAGCTTGAAGCAAGATAGGGTCCTATCTGAAAGTAATCTTAATTTTGGGCATGATACTTGAGTTAGGATAGATATGCACAAATGTATTGCCAACCAAAAGTGATGAAGCCAGGACTTCAAATGATAGCCTGAAGCGCACTAATCTGGTTTTCCTCAAACTGCAGAAAGACTAAAAACTTGAGACATTAAAATTCCAAGATCATAGTCAAAGGCCAACGATGAATGAGAAAGATAGAATATCCTACCATGCATAAGAAAATGAAGACTTGAAAGATCTAGGCCATAATTGAGGTGAAAAGTCTGTGCTAGAGCAGTGCAACAAGAAACGTTTGTGATGAGCAAATGCTTCTTCTCTTAAAATGAGCCAAGTAACAAACAACATAATGCAAGGAACTGACACAAAAGAAGACTGAAAGAGAGCAATAATGCATGCAGTACTGCTGGAGAGCCCACCAGGATGAGGAACACCACCACCATGGAGGTGGTGATAGACCTTTCCTAGAAACCCCATGTATGATGATTGAAAGGTAGTGTGGAAGTGTTCATATGATGCCAAGGGCTGATCATTTATGCAAATAAATTGGAGGGAAATGGAGAACAAACTGTGGCACATTGAGAGGCAAACTGGGAAAAGCTGACTATCCAGAGGGATCTGGCAAAATGATGCAGTTTGGAAAACTCTTTTTGCTTCACCAGGATGGACAAAAAACATATGTATTATAAGAAACATATAAATTATCTTCTGCAGTTCCAATCAAAATGTAAAGCTTCCACTACAACTAATTGTGATCTTTGAGAGGAGAAACACACTGGAAGAGGCCATCCAACAATACATTCAACATTTGATTCCTTCCTGTTGAACTAATATGGGAAAATGCCTTGGATCATTAAATGCTGTTACGACTGGTGTTGCCACCTAGTATTGGTCAGTCAAGGTGTCTGGGTAAACAAACTAGTATTGTAGTTTTTTTTTTGAGATATATACAAGAGTTGTTACATTCTTGTACAGCCACTAGTACGCGTAGCGTTTCGGGCAAGTCCTTAATCCTATGGTCCCTGGAATACGATCCCCTGCCGCGAAGAATCGTTTTTTCATCCAAGTACACATTTTACTGTTGCGTTAAACAGAGGCTACAGTTAAGGAATTGTGCCCAGTAAATCCTCCCCGGCCAGGATACGAACCCATGACATAGCGCTCGCGGAACGCCAGGCGAGTGTCTTACCACTACACCACGGAGACTGCTAAAGTTAGTTAGCGAGAGCACTCCACTGGCGATTACTTATGATGCTAAGGTGGGGTTGAAAGCTCTTGAAGTATTGTGAATGAACCTTTTATAGGTCATTCTGAACTGGATTTTTTTTTTTTTTTGGTACAGTACTCCTTAACACTATCTTGACCTTGCTGGGTCTGTTTGAAAAGTTCTTTGTGGCTCTGGTATCATAATGTTGTTTGTCCTGACTGCAGTTCTGTCCTATGGGCACAGCAACTCTACTTTAGGAAAGTAACTGATTGAGCTGCTAAGAAAGGAGGTTTTCATATTTGCTTATTGCCCCATGTGTAACATGGTGTATTTATTGCCCTATGTTTTGCTAGCATGTACTTATATTAATAATTTAATCATTACTATTTTTTTATTAAAAGTTATATTTCAATATCCACAGTCCCTACTCTCACTGCTTCCTCAAGAAATTATTAATGATATCTTAGCTGAAGAGATGGGGAAGTTATCCAGCTACTCAGATGACCCATTTTCCGCTACTCCAAGTGTGTGTATCATAACAACAGCCCTGAATTATGTACCTTCATCTATCACAAAGGATGTTATAAACTCAATCTTCTTGGTTCTGACTCAGTGGAGAGAAAAGGCTGACAACATTTTCTTATTTGCCACGTGAGTATTTTTTTATTTCACTGTTCCAGAAATGGCATTTTCAGTTACTAACTACAGCATATGGCTTTTTATGTTCCTTTCTTCTTGTTAGTTTTAATTTTTCCTTTTCAAAACATTATGGAGTCTAAAATTTGTCATTTTATTTGTTAAAGAGCTCTATTATTATAAGCCTCTGTACTCTTATAATACAGTCAGTAACCGAATTACAAACAAGTTACATTCAGAGATTGTATTTGTAAAGCATTTGTTCGAAAAGTGGATCGAGATTTTCCATAGGCGTAATGCTATAAGTGAGAGATCCATTCCCAGGCCACCAAAAATCCTCACAAAACCAATATTTTGGGGACATAAAAAAACCACATATTATTTACCTTGAATGATGGAGTTATCCTGCTTATCAAAGTTAGCTGTTTTTCAAGAATGAAGTGGTATAATTACATGAATAGGTGCATGAAATTACATGTGCACTGTATTGGTGGTCTGCTATTTTATAATTAACCTCAGGAGTAAACACCTCCCCACCCTCCTCCTATCTTCAGCCCAAGGCAACACCAACACAGTAAACACGATCAAATCATGTGTGTGGGGGTCATTGAGGACTTAAAGCTACTGGATATTGGGAATGTATCTCATACACTCCCAGCCACCCAGCCACACAAACCTACACCTCCATGCACCCACCACTCCACCCATGCTATACCATTTGTTCTGTACCACCATGTGGCTGCCATGCAGACATTCAGGCTGCCCAAAATTCAAAGGGATGCTCCAGCAAGTTAGGACAATGATTTATCCATGAAAGGGATACATAGAGACCTAGAATGTTTGTATGGACAAATGTTCATAAAGTGGGAACTCCCTGTACTGAGGTTACAGTACGATTCTGTTTTTAGTGATTCCTTGAACACATTGCAGATTAGTAATCCAAATGAATTCTTTGTGAATGTGACACCACCATCAAACCATATATCAGATGTTACCCTAACTACACTCGACTTTCAAGCATCCATAAACAGCATGCCTATGCACCAGGCCAGACTTCTGAAATTCTATATTGATAAAGAATTGCAAAAAACCACTATCACATCCCCTAAACAACTTTTGGAGACAAAGAGTAGATACTGGTGTATCTACCCTGTACATGTACAGGGTCCACGTACCCTTCATGTACCCTGACATGAAACAGCAGAGATTGTGCCACTTCACAAAGGAGGTGGTAAAGCTGATGCAAAAACTTAGACACTGAGAGAGAACTCAGTCAATATCAAAGTCCCAAGACTTCTCAACACACTCGCCCTACACATATAGGGTATAACTGGCAGACCTCTCGCAGTGTTCAAAAAAGCACCTTTCAAGGATATCTGGTGAACCAGGCTGTGACTCATACGTCAGGCTACGAGCAGCTGCATCGAACAGCCTGGTTTATCAGGCCAGCAACCAGGAGGCCTGGTCAGAGACCGGGCCATAAGAATGTTGAACCTCAGAATCATCAATGGGTAACTACACTTAAGTAATTATTTAGTAAACTAATGCCTCTATAACTTTTTATGCTGGTTACATTCACTTTTATTTGTATGCAATAGTGCAATCACTGATTTTTTCCACAGTGCCTATTACTTTTTTACAAATTCTCCGTGAAACAGACTTCCAGTTTACAAATTGAAAGGTAAACTGTTGGAATGTCTCAAAGAGTTGGTGGTGTGTAACAAAAACAAAATACATTCTAAAAGTAAATTACAATACCCTGTACATGTATTAGAAAATAAGCAAAGTTGACAGGATACCATGAGCATAGTTCTTGTTCTGTAGATACAGTTCTGCACTAACACAATGTTTCAGATTTATTACAATAGATAGATGTAGAGTACAATTATATATAATCATAATGCATTCATACATACATACATATATGTGCAGTCTATCATTCTTGGATAATTTTATCACTCAAGTTATTAAGATTACAGATGCTTGATATCTTTTCAAGCTATAGCCTATACAACCCCAAAATTTACATTAACACTTCACTGGTTATCATCAGCTTACAAAAGTGCCACAACAACCGTCTTTACCCAATCAAAATTGAGCTTCACACAAAGACTTTGTTATGATATAAGAGTCATTACACCATTGCACCCTTATATAGTTTACAATTTAATGTTTTTCATAGTTAAAGTTTGTAAAAAGGTTACCTGTATGAACATATAAGGTTATATCCAAGTTACATATTTTACATGTATATTAGAGCAGAAAGTTTGTTTCAGAGACGTTACTGGTATGGCATGGGAGGATATCGTTCTCACATGTTCTTTGGTGCGACTAGTGACTGTGCTGATTAAGAGACATGCAATTTACCTTGAGCCATCCCACTGGGACTTTGTTCTGTGCCTACTTTCTTCTTGGGTACAGTCTCTTGAGGAATCAAGGAAGGTAAGGAAATCGGGGTTTTCTGTACTTTGGTAATGATCATTAGTGTCACTGATGTTGTGTGTACATGGTTCTTAAAGGATTCAACACCTCTGCTTCTAAGCTTTCCTATGTGAACATGGAGTTTGATAGGCCTTGCATACAAGTAAGTGTATATGTCATTATTAGATTTGATTACAGCAGCTGTGCATCATTATACTGTAGTACAATAATCCCCTGCTGCATAATAGTCAAGTGTAGAGTATTACCCATTCTCCGTGGCCAATAGTCATGACTCGAGCATATGCGTAAATGAAGGTGTAATTACTTGTTATGTACAGTACACCTCCACTTCAAGTAATAATCTTTATTCCAACAGTAATTGTTTTCCTTAAACATTTTGACCAAGGCAGGTGTGTTTCACGTGCATCATTTTAGTTTATGCTGTTAGAAGTGAAGTATTAGCTTTTAAATAAGTTTTCTGGGTGCTGTATCAACTGAAGATCCAGAAGATAAAAGCTACTTATATATTCCAAAAAATATTTATCCTTTTGTTTTACCTAGAGGAGTAGTTTGTGTGAGATAGTTATATCGCACGCAAATTTGTATACATCGTTTAACATTTGTGGGTGTGAGAATAATTATATTTTGCTTGCACAATTTTATGATACTGTACACAATATTAAAATATGCTGTTGGATCTATAAATATTTGTCATTCCACTTTTATTTTACTTTTCCAGAGTGCTGACAAAGAAATTGTGACAGGAATCTTTACATGTGCAGTGTGTAAATGTATTGGTTGTGTCAGTGAATTCATGGAAAAGTTGACATTTGATCAATCAGAAAAGGAGAAATATCCCCCCAAACTTTTAGAGGACTGGAAAGAATTTTTCTCACCGTCAATCTACAACTCGCTTATCCCCATATATGTGGATATTGCAGGTTTGTTTGAATCAAGCTTAATAGTGAATTTGTTGTATGACAATAGAACATGCATGGATACATTAGCGTTACCCCATTTCCTGCTTTTATGGGATGGGACAGCACGAGCTTGGAAAAATGTGATGAAAAATATTGTATAGTAAAATAAGGTTGTAGATATAAAGTAACAGAAATTAAAAATATCCCTCGTACATTCATTTCACTATTCACAATGCATAGTATCACAGATAAACATGCACCACCACACTTCAGCGGTCATCCATAACAGCACCCACCACTCCATAGGTCAAGGTGTGTAGTGCTCCTCATCAGTTGGCAAATACAGTACTGTTCAAGGTACTGTTTAAGCTCACTTATCTGAATTATATGGGAAGGACCCCCACGAGATAAGCCAGACATGTGGATAAGCAGGATTTTTACCAGGGAAATCCATAAGTGAACATATTTGCAATTTTTTGTGCCATAACCAACATAATTTGAATTTACACACACACACACACACACAAACAAGAAGATAGACTCATATGGTGAACAACTCCAAGCAAGCCTAAGGGCTAACATAGAGTTAGGTAAGGATCTCCAACTGGAAACTTCACTGACAACTCACATAGAGGAGGTGAATAAAGAACTAGAAAAGTATAAAGAAGAAATAAAAGCGACATATGCTGAAGTTGTAAAAGAGAAAGAGACTATCAAAGAAGTGTGTTCGGAAGTCAAAACCAGAAATGACCAACAAGAAGCAGAAATTAGGCAAGCAATTAGGAAAGAACTGGTTACCAACAGTAAACTGGTACAAAACACTGCAGATAGAACTAAGTCCATAATCATTTTTGGATGTTTAGAGAAGGAAATTTCATCTAGGGTGGACCGAGCGGCAGAAGAGATGAAAATCATAGAGAAAATAGTAGGTTTAGGAGAAGGCTCAAAGGAAAATGTCAGTGATTTTAGAAGAATAGGAAAATATGAGAAAGAAAAGAACCGCCCCTTAAGGGTGACCTTTAATGGAGTGAAAAACATGATGGAAGTGCTAAGAAATGCCAGGAAACTGCAGAGTGATGAGGTTGGCAAATCTTGGTCAATAAGACAAGACCTCTCCAAGGAAGACAGAGAAAAGCTGAAAATGAACTTAATTGAGGCAAAACGGCTAAATGGGGATAGAAATGAAGAAGACAGAAATTCTTTTTTTTTTTTACAAAGTGACAGGGACTGGAAAGCTTGTGAAATGGTACATAAAAACAAAGCAACAAGATCAGTAGTGGAAGGGGGAGTAAAGAGCAAAGGAAAAGGGAACATGTTCCTGAAAATTGTATATACCAACATAGATGGAGTGAGGTCAAAAACTTTGGAGTTGCAAGATATAATCCAGCTTAGGGTCCCAGATATTGTTGCATTATCAGAAACGAAACTTGAAGGAAATATAATAAATGAAGTCATATTCCCAAGAGGCTACTCAGTTTGGAGACGTGACAGGAAAACTAGGAAGGGAGGAGGAGTGGCTGTACTGGTGAAAAAACACCTGAAGGTAAAAGAGTTAATATTTGAAAACCCTCGAGATATTGACATAATGGCATTGCAGGTCTGGAATCAGGATGATAACCTGATAATTGTAAATGCCTACAGCCCACCAGCAAGCAACACGTGGACAAAGGAAGAACTGGATGACAAACGAGAGGGCCTCATAATGGTCATGAGAGATATTATTGTACAAGCAGATAAAGATAAATCACGACTGTTGATACTGGGGGACTTCAACTTTAGAGCAATAGACTGGGAGGCCTATGAAGCAAGAACGGAGGACTTTTGGACATGCAGATTTGTGAACCTCATTCTGGAGACATTCTTGTATCAACACATAAAGCAAGCCACAAGAATGAGGGAAGGAGATATACCGTCAGTACTGGATCTAGTATTCACCAGGAAAGAAGAAGAGATTTTTGACATCCAGTACCTTCCTCCCTTGGGAAAGAGTGATCACGTCCTGTTAGACATTAAATATGCTTTAAGATATCATCTAGAAGAAAATGGGGACATTGAAACAGTTGATAAACTCGATTTAAAGAGAGGCAACTATGGGGAACTTCGAAATTTTTTTAATGAGTGTAATTGGACAGAATTGTTGCTAGGCAGGGAAGTAAATGAAATGTATGCCAAATTTTTAAAACTATACGAGGAAGGCACACAAACATTCATACCAAAACAGAGATGCAGGACCAGAAAACAGGATTGGTTCGACAGAAATTGTGAGAGGGCAAGAGACCAAAAGACACAAAAATGGAATCAGTATAGGAAGAGGCCAAACCCCCAAACATACCAGCGATACAAAGATGCGAGAAACAATTATACAGCAGTAAGGAGAGAGGCAGAAAGAAATTTTGAAAAAGGGATAGCAGATAAATGTAAAACAGAACCGGGCCTATTCTACAAATTCATAAACAACAAATTGCAGGTAAAGGATAATATCCAGAGGTTGAAAATGGGAAACAGATTCACGGAAAATGAAAAGGAAATGTGTGAAACATTAAATGAAAAGTTCCAAAGTGTGTTTGTACAAAATGAAATATTCAGAGAACCAGACACAATAAGAATTCCAGAGAACAACATAGAGCGGATAGAGGTGTCTAGAGATGAAGTGGAAAATATGCTAAAGGAGCTCGGGAGGAACAAAGCAGCTGGCCCAGATGGCGTTTCACCATGGGTTCTGAGAGAATGTGCATCTGAGCTCAGCATTCCACTTCACCTGATCTTTCAGGCATCCCTGTGTACAGGAATCGTAGCAGACGTGTGGAAACAGGCTAACATAGTTCCAATCTACAAAAGTGGCAGCAGGGAAGACCCCCTCAATTATAGACCTGTATCATTGACAAGTGTAATAGTGAAAGTATTGGAAAAGCTAATCAAAACTAAATGGGTAGAACACCTGGAGAGAAATGATATAATATCAGACAGACAGTATGGTTTTCGATCAGGAAGATCCTGTGTATCGAATTTACTCAGTTTCTATGATCGGGCCACAGAGATATTACAGGAAAGAGATGGCTGGGTTGACTGCATCTATCTGGACCTAAAAAAGGCTTTCGACAGAGTTCCACATAAGAGGTTGTTCTGGAAACTGGAAAATATTGGAGGGGTGACAGGTAAGCTTCTATCATGGATGAAAAATTTTCTGACTGATAGAAAAATGAGGGCAGTAATCAGAGGCAATGTATCGGAATGGAGAAATGTCACAAGTGGAGTACCACAGGGTTCAGTTCTTGCACCAGTGATGTTTATTGTGTACATAAATGATCTACCAGTTGGTATACAGAATTATATGAACATGTTTGCTGATGATGCTAAGATAATAGGAAGGATAAGAAATTTAGATGACTGTCATGCCCTTCAAGAAGACCTGGACAAAATAAGTATATGGAGCACCACTTGGCAAATGGAATTTAATGTTAATAAATGTCATGTTATGGAATGTGGAATAGGAGAACATAGACCCCACACAACCTATATAGTATGTGAGAAATCTTTAAAGAATTCTGATAAAGAAAGAGATCTAGGAGTGGTTCTAGATAGAAAACTATCACCTGAGGACCACATAAAGAATATTGTGCAAGGAGCCTATGCTATGCTTTCTAACTTCAGAATTGCATTTAAATACATGGATGGCGATATACTAAAGAAATTGTTCATGACTTTTGTTAGGCCAAAGCTAGAATATGCAGCTGTTGTGTGGTGCCCATATCTTAAGAAGCACATCAACAAACTGGAAAAGGTGCAAAGACATGCTACTAAGTGGCTCCCAGAACTGAAGGGCAAGAGCTACGAGGAGAGGTTAGAAGCATTAAATATGCCAAAACTAGAAGACAGAAGAAAAAGAGGTGATATGATCACTACATACAAAATAGTTACAGGAATTGATAAAATCGACAGGGAAGACTTCCTGAGACCTGGAATTTCAAGAACAAGAGGTCATAGATTTAAACTAGCTAAACACAGATGCCGAAGAAATATAAGAAAATTCACCTTCGCAAATAGAGTGGTAGACGGTTGGAACAAGTTAAGTGAGAAGGTGGTGGAGGCCAAGACCGTCAGTAGTTTCAAAGCATTATATGACAAAGAGTGCTGGGAAGACGGGACACCACGAGCGTAGCTCTCATCCTGTAACTACACTTAGGTAATTACACTTAGGTAATTACACACACACACACACACAATAATTAAAAAATATACCATTACAGTACTGTATTTTAAAACAAACTTCAGCTTATCTTGTTGTAGTTCGTCTTCTTGATTGATGCTGCATACAGTGCTGTACTGTATTTTATAATCGATAATTCTTGAAAAATTACATAACCTAACCTAACACAACTCTAAAACGTATGTACGGTACATGAGCTTGGCAAGGTCAGTTTTGACTGCCAGCTGCTGAACCTTCACTGGTTGAAGGTTCTTAGTTTTCTGGTAAGGCTTCACTGGCTAGCTGCAAACCTGCTTCCAGCATATCTTATTTCTACACTGCAAATTGTTACACCATCTGTGCAGTGCTGAGTAAACCACTTTTCAGCTTCATCTGTACATTGTGTGAAGACTTCAGAGTTTTTCTTCTGCACCCTCAATCACTGCTTGCTATGTATTTCATGTATTCATCTTGTTTCTTTATATCACAGACAGTACTGGCGACTATACCAAATTTCTTGGCAACACTCACAACTGACTGGTCATTTTCACAGAGTTCTATAACGTGTAATTTATGTTTAATGGTTAGCACAACCTTCCTCTTAACACCTCCAGAATGATTTCTGCTTCTACTAAAACCAAAAAAATTATTTTAAAAATGTTTCACTAATGACACAGCACTGTGGTATAACATGAAGGTTAAGAGCACATGGCCTGTGTAGCAATTTCTATCCTGGCCATTATGACCAGGCCATTTCTATCCTGGCCATTATGACCAGGCCATTTCTATCCTGGCCATTATGACCAGGCCATTTCTATCCTGGCCATTATGACCAGGCCATTTCTATCCTGGCCATTATGACCAGGCCATTTCTATCCTGGACAGGTCCACTTGGGGCAGGCAGGCACATTACGAAGGCTGCCAGGTGGAAAAAACAAAACAAATTTTAACAGGACACTACAGTCTTCAGCCTGTACACAAAGTTTTTTAAGAGATTTGTATGTTATAATGTAGATAGTTTCTTTAGTTTTGCTGTAATGAATTGTTCTAACATATTTCTTGGTTATTCTATACATTACAGATCAAAGGCCCCTCATCCCCCAGACTGTCCCTCCTGACTCATCCCTCTCTCTCCCGACACCCCCTACCCTGAAACCAGCCACCCCAACACCTCCCATACACCATGTCTCAGGCCACTGCTTCACTGCTGTACATGAGTAATACAGTATGGCCCAATCCCTGTCTGTGGTATCCAGCAAAATCCCCAGTTTTTCTTGATTTTTGTCCGGATATGGTGAAGTTTGCAGAAACATGAAACGTTAAGTTTCATGTAACGTATCCAGACATGATTTAGACTCTATGCCTGTCTGCAATATCCTGCAAAATCTCCGGTTATCTGAATTGCTATTTGGATATGGCGAAGTTTTGCCAGAAAAATATCTGGCCACAATTTTCACTGGACAACCCAAATATTCAGATAAGCGAGCTCATAAAGTATATACAAATATAGAGGAACCTCGGGTGATGAACAGCCCCCTTCTACGAGCATTTCAGGTATTAAGCGAGCCACTCACATAAAATTTGTCTCAATTGACGAGCTTCCACTCGGTTAACGAGAAAACCACGAGGTGCTTCCTAGCGTTCCCGCTGGTTCTCGGACGCCTCCAACAACAGTGTCATTGTTGTTTCGCAAGACGAGCATTTCACATGATGAGCTCAGTGCCGGAAGGGATTAAATTCGTTAATCGAGGCACCACTGTACATTCACTCACTTCTTACGAACCAATTTGCCTTGCCCTTTACCATATCCCATACAGTATATTGTTCAAGCTTCCCCCCTACCTCCTGCACACTTCTCAGATGATCAATTTCTACTGCTCCAACTCCAATTTTTCACATTAATTACCTTTCCATCTTCTCACAACCATACCAGAGTGTAGCATTACTACTTCATGCAGTCTTCACGAAGCATTTTATTCATGCAGTATCAAAAATGAAATAGTCTGCCTCAATTTGTCTTTTTTTTTTTTTTTTTTTTTAACCATAGCTTTCATTACACCTGTCACCTTTCTACCCTGATTGACCTCCCATTCTTCTACCAATTACTGCAAAACCATATGCTTCTTAAATGTTCTTACAAAACATTTATTTGACCATATATATTGCGCATATATATTACACCATTATGGCTTATTTGTTCATAGTCTCTCAAAGATTACTATTGATTCTTCTTATGTACCTACCCACTTTCTATCATTCAACATTTCAACTTTTATAATTATGCTTCTTGAACACTTGTGAGTCGTGATCACCCTTTCACCATTAAATCTTAATGTATACAAAATGTTATCAGACAAACTTCCAGTTGTTCCTCTCACTGCTCTCGTATCACACTCGTACTAAAACATCCTTTTCTCAAAAAAGGACAGTCAGTTAAACTCTTGTTCAGTTTCATAATATACCCTGTCCCATGTATCTTTATGAACTGCATATCCTTTTAGAAAATAAGTACTAGACAATAATATCTACATCAACTTTATATGCATATTTTTTTAATTTGTTATTCAGTATATTTAATTTTTAGCAGTAATTAATGTAGTTGTAGGTCAAAAATTCCATTTAGTGAATAAGATTTAAATGTACTTTAAGACACATGGTATCATAATTATATTAATTATTTTTTTTTTAGTGTCTTACAGCAGAAATCCTTCCATCATTCTCTATGGAGTGTGCCGTGCAGTTTGCATTGGTGTATGTCATGCAGGCCCAGATGATCTGGCCAATCACACCCTCCCTTCCTTGTTTAATGCTGCACTTGCAGGAGAAGAGTTGAAACTGCCAGATTCTGAACAGGTATATTTTTCTGATGCATTAGTTTATTAAGTATAGTGTGAAAAGATGAATAAGTGCATTGTAGGATAGAAGTCGCTAGAGTACAGGGATTTACTGAGAAATTGATCAGTGATGGGCAAGGTGGGTTCCATTGCTAAAGGGGGTGTCTAGATTAGATATTTGTGTTGACATTGCTTATAAAGAATGCATGTGAGGAGGATTGTATTGTGTTCATGGCATTTATGAACATTAAAAATGTATTAGGTAAAGCCTTTGGAAAGTGTGTGAAGTTGGCTGAGTGATGTGATGTCACCTTTGGTTAGTCGGGGTAGGCCAGTTTTGGAGCCAGTGGCCGGGCCGTTGTCAACTCAGCACTCTGTTGTCATTACACTACCCTGTTGTCATTACATCACCTTGTTGTCATTACACCACCCCTGTTGTCATTACACTACCCTGTTGTCATTACATCACCTTGTTGTCATTACACCACCCCTGTTGTCATTACATCACCTTGTTGTCATTACACCACCCCTGTTGTCATTACACCACCCCTGTTGTCATTACACCACTCTGTTGTCATTACACCATTCTGTTGTCAGTACACCACCCTGTTGTCATTACACCACCCCTATTGTTACACCACCCCTGTTGTCGTCACACCACCCCTGTTGTCCTTACACCACCCTGTCATCATTAAACAACTGTATAATCATTACACTTAGACTCATTTAACCAACCAATTTATACCATGAGATATTCCAACAGTAAGATACCGTTCTCAAATGCCGTTGTGGCATGTAATTTTACATTGTGTATATGTATGTCATATCAGAGAAGGCAATAATCAATTGGTGTCTTATTGAAGTTATGTAATGTCTAAACTAAGTACAGCATTTTCTCTGCTGAAACTTTACAGATCCTACTGAATCACCTGACCCCGCTGCTGTTGTCATCACATCCTCCAACACAGTTTACAGCATATAGCTTGCTGAAGACTTTTCTCCCAAGAATCATGTCCCAGTGGGAGATGAACCAGATATCTGTCAGAGAAGAGGAGGATACACCACAAAGGCCATTACCTTACTCCATAACTCAAACAATACAAGATGTAAATAAATGCATTTCTTTATATATATATATATATATATATATATATATATATATATATATATATATATATATATATATATATATATATATATATATATATATATATATATATATGTCGTACCTAATAGCCAGAACGCACTTCTCAGCCTACTATTCAGGGCCCGATTTGCCTAATAAGCCAAGTTTTCATGAATTAATGTTTTTTCGTCTACCTAACCTACCTAACCTAACCTAACCTAGCTTTTTTGGCTACCTAACCTAACCTTACCTATAAATATAGGTTAGGTTAGGTTAGGTAGGGTTGGTTAGGTTCGGTCATATATCTACGTTAATTTTAACTCCAATAAAAAAAAATTGACCTCATACATAGAGAAAAGGGTTGCTTTATCATTTCATAAGAAAAAAATTATAGTAAATATATTAATTCAGGAAAACTTGGCTTATTAGGCAAATCGGGCCTTGAATAGTAGGCTGAGAAGTGAGTTCTGGCTACTAGGTACGACATATATATATATATATATATATATATATATATATATATATATATATATATATATATATATATATATATATATATATATATATATATATATATATATATATATATATATATATATATAATATAAAAGTTTGTGAGGGTACCACCTCTGGTGCCAATGGGGGGACCCATAGCCTTGGAGAAGAAAATAAAAAAGTATTCAGAGAAGACCTTGTGGTTTCTCACTGAACACTAATATTATCTTCTCCTACCACCCCCATTCTTTTGTATTTACACACACATTATATATATATATATATATATATATATATATATATTTATATATATATATATATATATATATATATATATATAATGTCGTACCTAGTAGCCAGAACGCACTTCTCAGCCTACTATGCAAAGCCCGATTTGCCTAATAAGCGAAGTTTTCATGAATTAATTGTTTTTCGACTACCTAACCTAACCTAACTTTTTCGGCTACCTAATCTAACCTAACCTATAAACATAGGTTAGGTTAGGTTAGGTAGGGTTGGTTAGGTTCGGTCATATATCTACGTTAATTTTAACTCCAATAAAAAACAATTGACATCATACATAATGAAATGGGTAGCTTTATCATTTCATAAGAAAAAACATATTAATTCAGGAAAACTTGGCTTATTAGGCAAATCGGGCCTTGCATAGTAGGCCAAGAAAAGCATTCTGGCTACTAGGTACGACATATATATATATATATATATATATTAGTATATTTTGGTAGCAGTCTTTCCTGTAGACATATATTATTAAATATGACCGAAAAAGTAAGATTAATAATTCTAACACGAATTTTCTCAATCTTTCGTACATTACGCTTCACTGTTGGAGGTAAATAAAAAATCACTTCTCCAAAATTCATTTTTATTTCTAGTCTGACGCGACACGGGCGCGTTTCGTAAAACTTATTACATTTTCAAAGACTTCACAAATACACAACTGATTAGAACGTATCTCTGATTTTATATCTACATTTGAGTGAGGTGGGAAGGGTGATGTGGCATTAACACAAGACAGAACAGGAGGGGATATTAATAGGGTATTAAAAGTATCAACACAAGACAGAACAGAAGCAATGGGTATTGAATAGAAGTGTTTGTAGAAAGCCTATTGGTCCATATTTCTTGATGCTTCTATATTGGAGCGGAGTCTTGAGGTGGGTAGAATATAGTTGTGCAATAATTGGCTGTTGATTGCTGGTGTTGACTTCTTGATGTGTAGTGCCTCGCAAACGTCAAGCCGCCTGCTATCGCTGTATCTATCGATGATTTCTGTGTTGTTTACTAGGATTTCTCTGGCGATGGTTTGGTTATGGGAAGAGATTATATGTTCCTTAATGGAGCCCTGTTGCTTATGCATCGTTAAACGCCTAGAAAGAGATGATGTTGTCTTGCCTATATACTTGGTTTTTTGGAGCTTACAGTCCCCAAGTGGGCATTTGAAGGCATAGACGACATTAGTCTCTTTTAAAGCGTTCTGTTTTGTGTCTGGAGAGTTTCTCATGAGTAGGCTGGCCGTTTTTCTGGTTTTATAGTAAATCGTCAGTTGTATCCTCTGATTTTTGTATCAGAGGATACAAAAATCAGAGGATACAACTGACGATTTACTATAAAACCAGAAAAACGGCCAGCCTACTCATGAGAAACTCTCCAGACACAAAACAGAACGCTTTAAAAGAGACTAATGTCGTCTATGCCTTCAAATGCCCACTTGGGGACTGTAAGCTCCAAAAAACCCAGTATATAGGCAAGACAACAACATCTCTTTCTAGGCGTTTAACGATGCATAAGCAACAGGGCTCCATTAAGGAACATATAATCTCTTCCCATAACCAAACCATCGCCAGAGAAATCCTAGTAAACAACACAGAAATCATCGATAGATACAGCGATAGCAGGCGGCTTGACGTTTGCGAGGCACTACACATCAAGAAGTCAACACCAGCAATCAACAGCCAATTATTGCACAACTATATTCTACCCACCTCAAGACTCCGCTCCAATATAGAAGCATCAAGAAATATGGACCAATAGGCTTTCTACAAACACTTCTATTCAATACCCATTGCTTCTGTTCTGTCTTGTGTTGATACTTTTAATACCCTATTAATATCCCCTCCTGTTCTGTCTTGTGTTAATGCCACATCACCCTTCCCACCTCACTCAAATGTAGATATAAAATCAGAGATACGTTCTAATCAGTTGTGTATTTGTGAAGTCTTTGAAAATGTAATAAGTTTTACGAAACGCGCCCGTGTTGCGTCAGACTAGAAATAAAAATGAATTTTGGAGAAGTGATTTTTGATTTACCTCCAACAGTGAAGCGTAATGTACGAAAGATTGAGAAAATTCGTGTTAGAATTATTAATCTTACTTTTTCGGTCATATTTAATAATATATATATATATATATTTAATATATATATATATATATATATATATATATATACTGTATATATATAATATATATATATATATATTAATATATATATATATATATATATATATATATATATATATATATATATATATATATATATATAATATATATATATGTCGTACCTAGTAGCCAGAACGCACTTCTCAGCCTACTATGCAAGGCCCGATTTGCCTAATTAGCCAAGTTTTCATGAATTAATGTTTTTTCGACTACCTAACCTAACCTAACTTTTTCGGCTACCCTAACCTAACCTATAAAGATAGGTTAGGTAGGGTTGGTTAGGTTCGGTCATATATCTACGTTAATTTTAACTCCAATAAAAAAAATTGACCTCATACATAATGAAATGGATAGCTTTATCATTTCATAAGAAAAAAATTAGAGAAAATATATTAATTCAGGAAAACTTGGCTTATTAGGCAAATCGGGCCTTGCATAGTAGGCTGAGAAGTGTGTTCTGGCTACTAGGTACGACATTATATATATATATAATGTGTGTGTGTGTATGTATATATATATTCATACATACATACATACATGGAAAAATTTAACTTTTAGTAATATGTAGAATGTAATATATACAAGAAATATTTGGTTAAAAATACTGTAGGAAGGAAGTATGTGGATTTGCACAAATTGGTAGGAGAATGAGTGAAGTACTGCTTGGTGGGATACTGCAGGGGCAAGAACATGATGAGGATTTTCTAAATACTGTATAGAGTAATGGTGCTACATAGCCTTCCCAGCTTGGTGCCTTCTTTTGATAATTAGTTTCTAAATATAGAGTAAACAAAAGATAAAGCCAAAAGAATAGAGTATGTCGAGATTAAAAGGTATGTGAAGAAATTTGTTTAATATGATAAATGGTGAATGAGATATGAAGAAAATTATTCAGAAAATTGGAAGCTCTCTTGGAAAGAAGTAAGGAAGTGCAGCAGAAAATGAGAATGTTAAATGGTGAAGAGATGATTAAAATTAGGAAAGTGAATGTCTAATGGGTGGAACTTATGGAAGAGGTAACATGATTGGATGTGATGGTGTGAAAATAGTGCAATATCATATGAGAGCTTATATATACAACCCATCCTGGTGTTTAGGTAGTACTGTTTGCAACTATGTGGACCATTGTACATACATAGACCTAATTGACAATTAAATAGTAAAATTTGGCACTATGGTATTCACTTTATAGGGTTCAGAAAAAAATAAAGCTAAAAACCAAACTTAAATATTCCTAGGCCTAGTGTAGCATATATATGTACTATATTAGGCCTCAGATAGCATGTATTAGGCCTAGGAAGGTTAGATTAAGTTAAATTTTCTTGGCGATGTCAGTACAAAACCTTTTCCGGTTTGTCCAAATTCAATAGTTTCGATTTCTACTTTTGAATTGCCTTTTATGCCAATGTACGTATGTACAATGGTCCTCATTGTTACTATAAGTACTACCTAAAGAGGACGATGGACTGGTATATATCAATGGAAGATGTGAGTGGCTCTGTGAAGGAACAGAAATATGGGACAGCTTCAGGTGCTATGAAATATAAGCAGAAATAATTCAATGTTAAGAGGAAAAGGTAAAACAGTCAGTGTTGAAAACTTGCTGAAAGTCATCAAATATTGGTAATAGCCCAGCGGACTGGAAAATACCAATTGTACAACTATACAAATAGAGAAGAAAGCGGTGCATTGCAGTTAAAGTTGCACTGCACTGCACCCGGCTGAAAAGTCCCAGATTCAATTCCTGCAGTAGAACAGAAGCATTTAAGCACTGTTTCCCTTCACCTAATGTTCGCTTGATGGTAAATAGATATCTAGGAGTTAGCTGACTGTTGTGGGTTGCATCCTGAAGAAGATCAATGGTTGGCTTATGGGGGATCTCAATAAGACTAACAGACTAATCCCTGACTATAGGAACCATTAGGTGAACTAAGATAATGATGAGAAGAGTACAGTAAATTACTGAGAAATTGATGTGATAAGTTGGGTTCTATAGTAGAAGAGAGTATGTAGTTCAGACATTTTCATTGAGACTTTGCATTTATGGCCATGAAAAGTTAATAAAAGAATTTAGTGAATGATGAAGATGTATGGGATTGACAGAGTGCTGTGAAAAGTTTGTTTAGTAGCACTGCATATGCAAGAGTTAATGGTGTAATGAGAGATGTTTAATAATAATGTAAGTTTTTTCTTACTTTATTATATAAAATGTATTATTTACAGAGTAGTGTAATTGTCGAATCTACTTTAGCCGAGAAAGAAATGGGTGATGGATATGTGGTAATGCCTCACACCAAGAGCTTCACCCACATAACAGGATATTTACTAGCCTGGAGATTAGCTTTAGCAGCTCTCACCTATGCCTCTGATGCTAACCAGCACCAATACTCGACCTATCTTCGGTTAGTTCTGTGTCTGGTTAATTGTTATTTACCAAGGCAGCTTTGATCATGATGTGGTAAGTGTTACCACCTTTCAGGCCAATTGTGTTCTTATTTTTCACTTATATCTGCAAATGATCTTCCAATTTTGCATTCAATTTGAAACTTGGTAAGCCATATTTCTACCCTAAGAGCTATCTTAAGTGTACTGCTGCTTGGTACCAGGATCAAATTTTAGGCTTACAAATAGGTCAAACTTTAAGCAGGATGTTCTATATTTTGTACAACAATTTATTTTATTACATGTATTTCCATCTATTTACTTCCCATGGTATAAAAAAATATTATATTTAAAAAAGACAAAATTATTGAAAAATATATATAATGAACAAAGTGAATTGCATGATGGAACAGGCTGTGTGGACCAGGAACCTGAATTTTCCATTGAGACATTTAATAGAAAAGCCATGTGAAAATTATTTTTAAATTTACATGGCATTAGTAAAGATATGTTCATTCATTGTATTATACTTACTATACAGAACTGGTCATGAGAAGTAAGAATATTTGAAAAGGGTGTAAACTTAGTGGATAATAAATATAAATGGGGCACAATTATCATGTGAAAATAGATTATGATTAATCAGGGCCTCCCAAGAGTCGTCTAAACAGCTCACATGTAACATGTTGCTTCTAAGACACGCTGTACTGTTTTTATCATAGCCCATTCCTGTCATCATGCATTAGGTTATACTTTGTATTTCTGTGTTATCATTATTATTTATGGTGAATATATTCTTATATTATTTTATAGGCAAACGAATTTGCTCCAAAGACTTCTGCTAAATCTCTTCAAGTTGATGCCTCAAACTCCTCTGGTTAATGAAGGGACCAAGCTAGAGCAAACTGGAGATGACAAATCATTGTTAACAATATTCAACACTCAGCTTTATATCAGCCCTCTTGGTATGTTATAGATTGTAACATTTCACTAATAAATTATATAATAGATTCAAGAATTACAAATGTATTGAACTGTGCAGAACAGGTGACATGTACACATTTTCTTTTATTCTTCCTTTACCACATATGATCCACTCTTGCCTTAGGGATCATCTGATTGGGATAGTTCAGAAATCGGGCTTCAAATAAACATGATAAGTTCTTTTCTGGGGAAGCCCTTTCAGCTCCCCGGAGCTATCCAGGCTGATATGAATGTATTAGACCCTGGTATCAGTCAAAAGCATGGAGTTTTAGGCCTACCGGGGACCCATGAGACAGAACCTGGCCCCCCTCAGAGAGGCACGAGGAGCAATGGCCTATAGAAACCCTCCGTGTGGTTGGGAGCATTCTGTGTCTGCCATCGACCAGGTTAGGCACCCAGAAAGGTAGGCACCCCAGAACCTACTGGGGCGAAAACCCCGCCCCAGTAGGTTCTGGAAGTGAAAACCCCACCCCCAGGGGTTTTCACTTCTGCATTTTTCCGCAGACTGTCTTGTGCATTGTTTCATCTCCAGCCTGCTCATGCTCTGCTGATCCGTCCTGGTCGTTGGACCGGGTGCTCTCTTTTCTCTCTTCTCTGTTGTGGCCCCTTTGGTTCAGCATTGTTTGGTGAAAGCTCTTTTCTTGTTGGCATTAGCCTCTGGAGGTCGTGTCAAGGAGCTTCATGCTCTCCTCTGGTGCACGGGTGTTTTAGTCCTGGTGGTAGATTTGTTTGTTTGCAGCCGTCTCCTTCTTTTTTGGCAAAGAATGAGACTGCTGCTTTCCGGAGGGGTCCTTGGGTTGTTGATGCTTGGTTGGTCATGCCGGGGATGCATCATGTGTTGTGTCCGGTTGCGGTTTTCCACTATTACCTGCCCGCCAAGGCTTCGGTGGCCGGGGATGTGCATTGGGTTGATTTGGTTTCCCTTCTTCCCTGTTCTAGGGTTCTGGTCTTCCAGATCGTCGACAGGGTTCTTCGGTCTAGCCAGCCTGCGGTCTATCCTTGTGCCCACGATGTTCGTAAGTTTGCTGCATTGGCTGCCGTCTTCAGTAACATCTTTTGGGCTAACATTCGGGCATGGGGTTTTTGGAGATCGAACAGGGTCCTGGCAACTCACTACCTTGTCAATATTCCTGGGCCTAGTCTGGCCTGTGTCGCTTTGGGTCGGCAGTTGCATCTAGTTGTCTCAACTTCACGTTGAGGAGCGAGGGCTGACCGGCTCCCGGGTAAGTCCCTCTTGATTTTGTCTTTGGATAAGTAGCTCTAGGGAGCCAAAGGGGCTCCCCCCCAGAAAACTAGCATTGAATGTAATGAAACGCCATTTTCTGGGTGAGACCCGGAGGCTCCATGGCAACCCTCTTCCCCTCCAGTCGGCGGTTTTTCTTTTCACGAATATTGACATTCAGCCTCAGAGCTGCAGGTTGGATAGCGAGTGTGAAGGTCTGGGGCTTCCCTTCCTCCTGGGGTGGGCGGGTTGCACAGACGACGGCGCGGTAACGTGGTGACGTCATGCTCATTAGCTCGTTTTCATTTGGGGAGTTCTGTCCACTAGTTAGGCTTTCAGTAGCAATATTTTACCAGAATAGGGGTTTGTTTTGGGGCATCTACCTTTCTGGGCACCTTACCCAGTCGCTGGCAGACATAGAATGCTCCCAACCACACGGGGGGTTTCTATAAGCCATTGCTCCTCGTGCCTCTCTGAGAGGGGGCCAGGTTCTGGCTTGTGGTCCCTGGTAGGCCTAGAACTCCATACACTTGACTGATACCAGGGTCTAATATATTCATATCAGCCTGAATAGCTCAGGGGAGCCTCCAGGTCTCTCCCAGAAAATGGCATTTCATTACATTCAAAGCTGGTTTTTTGCCTATAATACACTGCACAAGATTTATTATCCTTCGAGTTGCTTTACATATTTGTACAAATTTTGCTTCCTCATTCATACCAAAGAAGTAGAACACAGTTTCGTATTATACAATAATAAATTTATTTCTGTTTCCAATTTATCTATATTTTCAGCAAATGCTACATCACAGCTGGTAGCTCAGCTAGCATGCAAGGCATATTATGAGTGTGTTAGCCGCATCCCTGCTGCAGTCAGACAGTGGTTTATAAGCCTGGACCGACACTATCAACCTATAGTTGATGGCTTTACCACTTTGTATGTCTCCCCACTGCTAATTAATCAAGAAATGTCTGCAATTACCAACTCTTCTACAAAGTTTGATAACATGACGGTAAGAACTCTGCACTGTTAGCGTTGCTGTAATTTTTTTGTTAGTCAATTGCAATTTGAGGCAGTTAAAAATACAGTACTGTACTTTGTATTGCAAAATATAAGATTAACTGCAACAGCACAATTTTATAAATGTACATTTATATGTATCTGCGCTTTCTTACAGGTGAAGGCTCGTCCAGGAGCTAGAGAAGTGGTGGCCACCTATTCCATAGACGAAACCAGTATGGAGTTAATTCTTCGTCTGGCTCCAAATCACCCACTCACTACAGTCACTGTTGATGACCATCGTAGGGTTGGGGTCTCTGTTGCCCAATGGCGAAATTGGCTGCTTGTAGTAAGTTGGATTTTATTCTCATTTCTTATCTAAAAGATAAAATATCAGGCAGCAAAATTGTTCAAAATTGTAGCACAATAAATTGCATATACATTACCGTACAGTATAATGATGCTTTTCACTTGTTTATACAGTACAAGATATTGTCAATTTTGATGAGAAGATTAGCATTCATGAGGATTAGACCAAAAAACAGGAATATAAATGGGTATTGACAAACAAAAACTTATAAAATAGATCATCCATTTTAAATCTTTTAAACTGAAGTGTCACTAGGTCACTACAACCACTGAAGTGGTTGTGGTGACTTAGCTATCCCTGGTTGGGATATCTTGGTTTGATGATAATAATAATAATTCATTGTATCAGGTGACAGGCAGCCAGTGTATTTTTATACACACGTTAAGCTTATATCGAGGTCCCGAACAGTTAGTACTTGATTCAGCTGTACATACTGTATACTATTATTAGAACAGTTCAGGGACAATTTGCTTGTCATGTGTAGCTGATACATGGACTTATAACAACATGTTCCATGTACTGAATTGGTAATGCTTCCCAAATGATTTCCTTGCATTGGGTGTTAGGTACACCCCATTGAACCTGAATGTGTTCTGAACTGACTGAACTCTTACATTACATGTTGTGATGCCTGGTGTGTTTCCATAGAGCACGTCGGCACCAAACCTGCTTCACCCTGGGCTGCTGTGTTTTTGGTGCTCAGTGCATCCCCATCGAGCTTGCCTAAAGTACCAACTTCTTTGCATTCAAATTTCGTGCTCAGGTGACTTGCTCGCCTTTGATGCATAACATGTACCGAGTAATCAACGTCATGCTCAGTTTTCCATGTTCTTGATGCTAGGCTGGAGAGTTCCTGGATTCATTTCCACCCCACCTGTGTTCTCTCCTTTCTGTGTGGTTCCCATTCATTGCATATGTTCAGAGGCAGTTGCCTACCAGATGTATTAGTAACTTTTTCTGTGGGGAGCCACTATGGCTCCCTGGAGCTATTGTGCTAATATGTGATACATTAGACCTAGGCATTAGGGGCTTTGACAACCATAGCGCAACTCCATAGTCTCCCGGGACTGGAGACTGTTAGGCCCCAGTCGGTTAGGGGTTATGCCCCAGTCGGGCCTAACCCTGACCGGGGTTAGGCATCCAGAAAGGTAAGCATAACAAAACAAACCCCACATGGTAAGAAAATTACAACTAAAAACCAAAAATTGAAGCAGAGACTCCCTCTGGTCCCAAGGAAACGAGGAAACGTCACACTCCACCACCACGTCGCTCGTCCGCGCAGCCCTCCCCTCCCCACACTGGCTACCTAGCATTTCAGTTCATTCACTAATGTGGTCAGGGGTGGACATCTTCTCTGGCCTCGAATTCCAGGCGGACAGCCTATCTCGGTTCATCCCCTGTCCACGGAATGGAAAGTTGACGCAAACTCTTTCCGTTGGCTCTGCCAGATGTACGAACTCCCGGACGTGTACCTGTTCACGTTGGCTTGGTCTCGGCATTTCCCGATGTATGTGGCACCCTTCCTAGACTGCGAGGCTGTCACAGTGGATGCCTTTCGGCCAGGTTGGTCAAGGTGGGATTATCTGTACTGTACCTCTTTCCCCTAGTCCAGCTGTTGCTTTGGGTTCTAGCTCGGTTGGAGTCCTACCAAGGGAGAGTAGTCCTCATGACCCCTTGGTGGCCACGAGGACTGGTGGCCATTTTCTGCGGCTCAGCCTCTTCCAGCAGGTCGGACCAACCCAATACATGGCTGGTTCAGTCTTCTCCACTCTTTGCGTCTTGTCTTTTTTACGCGGGTTTATCACCATTTGTATGGCGATCAGGTGGCTTCGTTCATGGTGTCCCACCTGAGAGCTTCGTCTCAGTGACAGTATGAAGTTTACTGGCATTCTTTCCGCCATTTTCTCTGTCTTCGTAGGTTGTGTTCTATTTCTGATCGGGTTGTCTTGCCCTTTCTGTCTTAGCTTTTTCAGGACCGTCATTTGATGCCTAATTCTGTCACCCTGTATCGTGCAGTGCTGGCAGAGCCACTCTAGCTTGCATTCTGGGTGGATGTCACTTCTGCCCCGTTCTGTAAGCTTCCTCGTGCTTTGTTTCACCAAAGTCGGTCAATCATCGGCTATCTAGAGAACGTAACGAAACTGATGCCTGCTCCTGTGCAACCTGAGCTGTACTGGTCCTTGGACAGGGTGCTCTCCTATCTTTCCTCTCCTCGGTTTGTGGTGGCCCCTTCGGTTCAAGATTGTTTTTCCAAGGCTCTGTTTCTGTTGGCATTGCCTCTGGGGGTTGGGTCGGTGAGCTTCATGGTCTCCTCCAGCACAGGAGTTTCTGCTCTTTCGGTCCTGGTGGTCGGTTTGTTCGGTTGCAGCCTTCTCCTCCTTTCCTGATGAAAAATGAGACAGCTGCTTTCTGGACGGGTCCTTCAGTCATTAATGCTTGGTTGGTCAGGCCGGGGATGCATCATGTGTTGTGTCCGATTTCGGCATTTCGCTGTTATTTGAGCATTTTGGCTTCGATGGCTAGGGATTCGCTTTAGGTTGATCCGGTTTCCTCGTTCCCTGTTCCAATGTTTGCTGTGTTGGCTGTTGTGTCTGGCAATATTTCCTGGGCTGATATTCGGGCACAGGGATTTTGGAGGTCGGCAGGGTCCTGGCCGCCCGATATGTGGTTAAAGTTCCTGCTCCTGGCCATTCCTGTGTTGCTTTGGGTCGCAGGTTACAGCCAGTTCTCTCAACTTCGTGTTGAGTGTGTGGCGGCCGTCTCCCGGGCAAGTCCCTCCTTTTCATTATCTTTGGTTATGTAACTCCAGGGAGCCGTAGGGGCTCCCCACAGAAAACCAGTGTTAAATGTAATGAAACACCATTTTCTGGATGAGCCCCGGAGGCTCCCTGGCAACCCTCCCTCCCTCCGATCGGCGTTTTTTTCGCTTTGATTGATGCTGAGCTTCCAAACTGGAGTGCTAGGTAACTGGCTCGGGGACGTCCGGGGCTTCCTCTTCCACTCCCACTCTTGGGAAGGGGAAGGCTGCACGGACGAGCAACGCGGCAATGGAATGTGACTTTTGCTCGTTTCCTTGGGATTGGAGGGAGGTCTGCCTCTCTTTTCAGTTTTTAGTTGTAATGTTCTTACCATGTGGGGTTTGTTTTGTTATGCCTACCTTTCTGGGTGCCTAACCCCGGTCAATGGCAGATAAGGAAAAACCCCAACCACAAGGGGGTTTTCCAGGGCCATTGCTCCTTACACTTTTCTGAGGGGGCCAGGTTCTGGCTTGTGGTCCCCAGTAGGCTGAACTCCATAGACTAATGTCCCAGTCTAATGTATCACATATTAGCCCGATAGCTCAAGAGAGCCTCCAGGGCTCGCCCAGAAAATGGCGTTTCATTACATTAAACGCTGGGTTTTTTAATTTCTGTAATAAGGCTCCTCTAACCAGAGAAGGGAAGCCTATTAGGCTTATTGAGATCTTCCTACCCAATGATAGACCTACCCTAGAATGCAACAATAACTCCCAGAGACCTGTTTACTGCCCCATAGTTGTGCAGGAGTGATAAGCTACCCCCCACATAATTTATCAATGTTTCTAGCAGTTATTTAGCAGAGCAGATAAAATACAAATCTGTGCCTGGTACCTAAAATAGTGCTAACATGTTTAATTTCTGGAAAGTTTGCACTCAAGGGAATGTTTATTCCCTCATCATTTTATATAATTTTACCCCTAACCTAACAATCCAAATGGTTGGGGACCATTCCCTCCCTCAGTCCAATCCCAAATCCTTATCCTCATCCCTTCCAAGTACTATATAGTTGTAATGGCTTAGAACTTTTTCCTGGTAATTACCATTCCTTACCTTTGTAGTTGCCTAACAAAATCTTACATTAATCAAGTAAAGATATTTCACAATAAAAATTGTATTATTTCAGATGAATACTATGCTCTCGCATCGCAATACACCCTTGTTACAGTCATTAGTGTTTTGGAAACAAAATGTTGACCAAAAGTTTGAAGGCATTGAGGAATGCTTCATCTGTTACTATGTCTTGCACGGGACAAATCATCAACTACCAAAACTTCTTTGCCGAACTTGCAAGAAGAAGTTCCATTCAGCATGCTTGGTAAGGATACAAACTGAGAATATTGACACAGTGAGAACAGGAAATAAAATTTAATTGCATTTTGTTAGCTGATATGAAGAATGAGAGACAAATTAGTGTTTATACAAGGTATAGTTTCAGAACATATATTATTTTTCCTGTGTTTTATTCTGATGTTATTTTATTATTTTGTTACTTTTTATTTAATATATGAACATTTTGTTTTCATTATAAGATGTTGGTCCTCAGTATGTTCAAAATGTGCATGTAGTTATTACTATATGAATTTAGTCATTCGTAAGAATTTTCCTATTAATTCAGTAAATGTTTGTCACTAGTGTCCATACAGTTAAACTGCATCCATTCTGTAGATATCAGTGTTACTGGACGTCAGTATGAGTAGGGTTGTACTAGTAGATGCATGTGATGATACTCCCTTGAATTACTTTATTCAGATAGTACAAAAGTTTTAACTTAAAATAAAGTCTAACAGTATTTCTCATGTGCTATCAAGGGAGCCCTCTTGTGGCTCCCTGAAGCAGTGGTGCTGAGATAACTTCCTAATACTTAGCCACATCAGTCATAAATGTCCATTGACTTAAGAAAACCAGAGCCAGAACCTGGCCACTATCAAAGAAGTACAGGGAGCAGGGAGATTGTTACAAATCACCCTCACCAGGAAAGTATCCTGAAAGGAGATGAGACAAAGCATACAACTTCAAGGTTCATGAAAAATGGAGCACCGAAACAACCAACACATGCCACAAAAGAATCACTCAAAATGGAGTGGTTCATTCGAAGCTGGGTGTAAAACACCTTCTTGCATATATGCACATACACGCCAGCCAGCAGTTTCTCGGCCAAGCTGGCTTCCCTCGTTCAGTCCTGTTGCTGATGCAAGGTGTTCTACACCTTGCCTTCCCTAACCATTTAGTCATCTAAGTTCCACTTCTTCTCCAAGACGAGTGCTGGCCATCGTGTGGGGATTTTTTTATTAACATATTGTTCCTACTTTTTTGGTATTTCCTTCAAGAGGGGGTTTTTAAGCCTCACTCATAAGTGAACTTTTTCTGCACTTTGAGCTGCATGTGTTTACAGCTGTCTTACCCTAGACACTCGTCTAGCATTGCCCTTGCATTGTTAGAATTACAGTACTTCTCTGTTGTGTTCATCAGTTCACCCCTGAGAGGCCAGGCCACTTGGGGTGCAGCCTTTTCAAGGTAATCCATTAGTCATTGACTCCTCTGCAAAATCTTGTGGTTGGGGGCTTTTTGTTTTGTTGTGGAGTGTATTAAGGTGTATATGCTTGGTTTATACAGTACTCCACGGATGCCCATCGTAGCCAAGTTTTTTACAGGCTGCATTCAGTGTGTTCTGGCAAACGTCCCTAATGCCTGGGTGTCCTGAAGGTTAGTCACCTTCAGGCCGTAGCAACTCCCCTGCAGGCTATAACATAGCTCGTCGTGGACCAACTCATCGAGCCCACTCTTGCTACATGTTAATTTGAAGAGTGCTTTGCTACTTACTGACGATCATTTGGTCTCCGCATGCTGTCTGTTGGGTCAATGAAACCTTCAACCGCGAGTCCTGTGACAGTTGTGCTCATCAAGTCTTATCAGAGTCTGCCTCGGGACAGGAGGGTTTTCAGGCAGTAGTTGCTTCATGGTCTGTTTTTCCCGGCCCGGAGATAGCCCGGAGTTGGCCCCATGGTGCTTAAGTATCTAATTTTGGAAGAGGGTGAATTCCACCTGGTCTAAGTTTGCTATCTTCCTTTCCCTGCTGGTGGCTTGCACTCAGGGTCTGGTCTTTTCTCCTGGTTCAGACTACAAAACGTCTGAGGATTTCAGAGTCAGGTCAAGGTTTAGCTGTGCATGTAGCTCAGCTAACTCCAGGGGCATCTTCATGCACCTGAAAGACAAGCACATGAGACATCCTTTTCCACAGGGGATGCACAGCCTTTGCAACAATTGCCTGGCTCCAATCCTGCTCTGTTGGATAGTGCCTCTCATCCAACAGGCATCAGGCATGGAATACTATGCTACTCCAAGGCCATCATTGCTGGACCCCAGGGCTGGGAGAAGCATGAGGAAGGGGGGGGGAGTCCCCGAGTGCCCTCTAACCGCACATGGTTTTTAGTTCTATCCGATGAAGGTCATTTGCTCCAAGAGGAGGATCTCTCCTGTCCCCCCTTTTTTTTATTAGCTTGATACTCGGCTGCACTTCTGAGTGCCATTCGGTTCTTTGGAATAATTTTTCTGGAGGTTTTCGTCATTCCTCCTTTCACTTTCATTGGCACTTGTGAACATTTTTTGGTTCCTCGTGAATGATTAGGACCTTGTTTCCCTAATACACCTGTCATCTTTCGAGTTTGGGTTAGCTTCAATTTTTTGGCTGAAAGACAAAAAGGTCCCTGATTCATCCTGGCTTGCTGACACTTCCCTCTTTTTCCTGGAAGCTTGGCAGGGCTTCTGCTGAACTCGGCACTTGAGTGGCAGGAAGCAAGTTCGTTCTTTCAGAGGTTCTTAGGCACTTGAGAACTGCTTGTTTGCTCTGGTGCTCTCTAAGGACGTGAGCAAGTGGCAGCGCCGTGTGCAGCTGCCTGTGTTCACTGGAGCCCTTACCACTTATGATCACAGGGCTTGTTTCCACTTGGCTACCATGTTGTACATCTGAGTGCTCATTGAGCTGTTCTCAGATCATCACCATGGTGGCTTGCATGTTCTTTCTTCTGTCCCCCAGTATGACCACCTTGCTGCCTGCAGTTCTGGCTTTGGGGGTGCTGCCAAGGAGGTGGTGCAGGCTTTTTACTTGGCTTATCTCATGTGTCATTTGGCTGTGCTGGCCCAGTCTTTAGATTCAGCCGGATCCTTAATGCTTTTGTCTGCCTCCCTCTTTTTACACCACCTCTTTCCTAACACCTCAGTCAAGTACTTTTGCAGTTCACTGAGGTGTTCTCTTCTCTGCCTTCCAAGCAGAGAATTTTGGCTTCTCAACTTGGAGGCAGTCCAGTAGAGTTGGGGCCTCCTTGGTATTTGCACAGGTCCTTTTGCAGTTCACTCCTTTGGCAGGGCTGTGGGATGCTGACTGACCCATTTTGCCAGTTCCTGTTCCCACGATCCATGGGCTTCTTGGATTCTTTCCCAAGGTTTCTGGTGGAATTTGAACTTGGCAGACCTACTGTACAGACCTACCTTTTTTTTTTTTTTTTTTTTTTGAGATATATACAAGAGTTGTTACATTCTTGTACAGCCACTAGTACGCTTAGCGTTTCGGGCAGGTCCCTGGAATACGATCCCCGCCGCGAAGAATCGAAATTTTCAATCTTTCAGGTTTTACAGGTTCATTCCTTGTCTTACCTTCTGCATGGTTCAAGGTTCTGGGACTGGTTAGGATTTCTAGTGGGACATCATCACCACTGTGTTCACTAATTTTTTCTTATCTGATATTTGGGCTTGGGGTTTTGGGACATCTAACAGGGGTCTTGGTGGCTATGTATCTGATCAGTGTACCTGGTCCTATTCAGGCTTCTGTTGCCCTGGACCAGATTTCCAAGACTGGTGTTTCTTTTTCAGCTTTAAAGCTGCCACCTCTCTTCCTTCTTGGTAGATCCCATTTTCCCTTTTTTGTTGTTAGTTAGCTTCAGGGAGCAACCAATGGACTCCCCCCAGAAAATAAGCATCGACTGTAATGAATCTCCCCTTTTTGGGTGAACTCCGTGGCTCCCTGACTCACTCCCCTTCCCTTTACTAAATGCACCAGTTTATGGCTCATCAGCAACAGACTGAGCATAGGATACCTGATTGGCCAGGATGCTGGCAGCTATGCACTTGCACACTATCCTCTTGAGGACATCTTGAGATGATTTCGGGGCTTAGCATCCCCGCAGCTCAGTCCTCGACCAGGCCTCCTTTTTGTTACACATCCCCAGGAAGCAGCCTGTAATAGCTGTCTTAACTCCCCAGGTACCTATTTACTGCTAGGTGAACAGAGGCATCGGGTTGAAAGAAACTGCCCATTTGCTTCCGCCTCCACCGGGAATTGAACCCAGAACCTTAAGACTACAAATCCCAAGTGTCCACTAAGCCTTCAGGCCTCCTAAACACTAGGGGGCGTTTCATACCCAGCTTTCGGTGAATCATTTCGTTTTGAGTGATTATTTTGCAGTGTCTGTTGGCTGTTTCTGTGCTTCATTTTCATGAATCATGCAGCTGTATGTTTTGTTTTTTCTACTTTTTATATGCTTTCCTCATGAGGGTGATTGTAACAATTCCTTGCTCACTGTGACAGGGAGTAGGGGATGAGGTATTAGGAATTAGAGACCAGAGCCAGGTTCTAGCTCTGGTCTCAGGTAGGCCATCAGGATGCCTATGACTGATGTGGTTAACCATTGCATTGGGAAGTTAACTCGGCAACATAGCCTCAAGGAGTCACCAGGGCTCACCCAGGAAGGAGGATTTTATTAGATTCAAAGCTGGGTTTTTACTAGGTAAAAGTAAAAGTAATTTCAAAGTAAATTATTAAAATAGAATTTTATGATTGAGTTTTTTATTGTTTTCATTTAATAGCTCACCACCTTATAAAAAAGAATAGTATTATTATTGAAGTGATATCAATCTTTCTTAATTTACTTTTTTATGAAGCCATTTTTTTTAATGCTAAATATGTTAATACTGTTTTCTCTCTACACAGTATAAATGGTTCAACAGCAGCAACAACTCGACCTGTCCACTCTGCCGTAGTCTGTTTTAGAGCAGGTAGAATAGGAATGTTTCATAAATATCTATTACTGTTCTTTAATTTTCAAGCAGCTTAGAAGAATGATATCAGCTGGAATTATATTAATACCTGCTGTGTATATAATCTTGATCAACCAGAAGAATATTAGTATTAGCTAAAAATAAATTTGATTACCATATTGTAAATATATATTACTGTGTTTCAGTTGATTCATACATCTGTCATACAGATTTTATTCATGTAAATATGACATATTGTATCACTTAAACTTGATTTGTAAATCTATAAAAATGGTACATTATATATAAAAAAAACATGTACAAAATGTTTTATTTTAATCTTTGGCAACACTCATCATTTTGATAAATACTGTACTGTACCGTATAGCTATATGAAACTTGGCACTAACGAATAAAAGGAAATGTAATTTTCTATACTACAGTATAAACTGAATTTTTTGTAGGTTAAGTCTGTCCTCATCACTTCTTGACCAAATGTGCCTTGTCAATTGTTTGGTATGTTTTGTAAACATAAAATAATATATTTAATATATAGTTTTCCTTAAAATGTATTTTGCTTGTATTCAGTAAAAGACTTTTGTGATGTGTTTTGTAACTCAAATGTGTAAACCATGAAAACTTATATTCAAAGAGTGAATGAGCTGTGAATAATGAAAATATCTGGAGTGTTAGTATATATATATTGCTTCTAATCAATCATGAGTTGGTATTGTATTCTTGAAAAATATCTGTATAGTGATTGTACTTTGACATTATAAATAATGCATATGGAACTATGAAATCTACGAAAGTATTCCTTATCCATATCTGGAAAAGTCGAGGAATGTTTGTAAACACTTGCACTCTGTCATTTAGTGCATCCACTCTTAGTTCTAAATAAAAATTATATATTAAACTGTACTATATCATTTAGCTCCAGTATTTTTTATCTCGCTTCATCTATGTTAGGATATACAATTTCAAAAACATGTTCCCACCTCTTTTGTGTATGTGTGTGTGTAATTACAGTATACCTAAGTTTCTGTACTCACATATTTGTGCCTGCAGAATCAAGCACTGGTTCTTGAATCCCGCTTTTCTAGCCACCGGTTGTTTAAAGCAATGACTCCTGTCCTATTTCCTTATCATATCTACTTTTAAAATTATGAATAGAGTTTGCTTCGCTTCAATAACCTGCTTCTTTAGTTCATTCCATTTTCCTATTACTCTTACACTAAATGAAAACTTTCTGATACACGACTCAATTGAGTTTTCAACTTTTACCCATGCCCATTGTTTTGTTGGTATTCAGTATGAATATTTTGCCTATTTCCACTGTCAATCCCCCCAAGTATTTTATATATGTACGATATCTCCCTGCCCCCCCCCCCTTTTTTTTTATACCTCATCCCTCTCAATTCTAGGATGAGCCTCGTTGCAAACTTTTGAACCTTTTCCAGTTTCCTTATGTGTTTCTTCAGGTGGGGGCTCCATGATGGGGTGGCATACTCTGGGGTCAGGTCCCAAATCTATACAGTAAAATAACAACATATTGGGGTGAACTATATGGAAGAAAATGCAGAATAGGATCAGTGAATAGCAGGGGGGCCACAGGCACAATCGGAGAAAACAGCATGAACACCAGAGGTTCACGGTTGTTCAACAATACTTCCAGTGTGTATAAAAAACATTGCCGGAATAAATGTGAACACCTTCAAGAGAAAACTAGGTAGTTTTCTTCACGAAGTGCCAGACCAACCGGGCTGTGGTGGTTATGTGGTCCTGCAGGCCACTCCAAGCAACAACCTGTTGGACCAAGATCTCACAAGTCAAGCCTAGCCCCAGACCGGGCTTGGGGAGAAGTAGAACTCCCAGATTCCCATCTAGGTATAATTCCAGTACATAGGCAATGTAAAGTGCTCTAAATGCCTCCTTACTTAGGTTTCTGAATGATATTCTAACTTTTGCTAGCATAGAGTACACTGCTGATGTTATCCTATTTATATGTTCCTCAGGAGTTAAATTTGGTGTTATGTCCATTCTCAGGTCTCTTTCTCAAATCATCACAGGTAGGTAGATTCCCTTCATTGTGTACTGTCCCTTTGGTATCATTTCAATAATTTTACACTTGCTCGTATTAAACTCCAGTAGCCATTTCTCCGATCATCTCTGCAACTTGTTCAAGTCCTTTTGGAGGATCCTACAATTCTCATGTCACAACTCGTCTCATTAATTTCATGTCATTCACAAACATTGACATATAGGACTCAACTCCTGTATACATGTTGTTTATGTATATTAGAAATAGAACTGGTCTCAGCACCGATCCTTGAGGTACTCCACTTGCTACTGTTCCACAGTCCGACTTCTTGCCCCTTACTGTTAATCTCTGGCTCCTGCTTGTTAGGTAATTTCTTACTCATGCTAGGGTTTTTCCACTTACTCCTGCCTGCCTCTCAAGTTTAAATAACAGTCTTTTGTGTGGTACTACATCAAAGGCTTTTTGGCAGTCCAGAAATATACAGTCTGCTTATCCTTCCCTGACCTGCCTTATTCTTGTTACTTAATCATAGAATTCCAGAAGGTTTGTTAGGCATGATTTTCCTTCCCTGAACCCATGTTGAGTGTTTTAAGTACCTAATTATCTCTTAATTAAGTGTGTAACCAGTCTTAACCTGATCATTCCTTCAAGTTCTTTGAAGGGGATATTTGTCAGTGATACTAGTCTTTAGTTAAATGCTTCTTCATTATCTCCTTTTTTGAAAATTGGTACCATTTTGCCACCTTCCATCAACTGGGCACTCTTCCTTCATGAGTGACCCATTAAAGATCCTTGCTTGAGGCATGCTGAGGGCTTGCACTGCCTCTATTAGTATCCACGGTGATACTTTGTCTGGTCCTACTGCTTTAGTTTCATCCAGTTTTGTTAGCTGTTTCATTATCTTCTCTGCTGTCGCCTCACATCTAAGTTCATCTCTTCAATGGGTCACCAATGTGAGTTGCTCAGGCTCAGTTGTTAACACTCCACAGAAACTGACATTCAGAACCTTGTCAAATACTAAAACCCACCACAGTGTTTAACAACAGGTACCCATTCACTACTGGGTGTACAGCTAAGGATTGGGGCCTAGTCAATCCACTCAGGGCAGGATACGAACCCAGGCCAAATTGCTCATGAAGCAATAGGCAAGTGTTTTACCACTGTGCCACGGGAACTGCAGCTCATGCCATCTCTTGGGTGGCTTAATCTTCAATCGATCAGCTCTTTTTCACCCACAGGTTATTAACCCATGGAACTGCCTACCGTATATACCAAAAAACTTAAATATGTAAGTTAAACAAATATAATAAGTAAACTAAGCCACAGGAATATTCATGAAGCTTAAATGAGCCTAGTGTAGCGCCTTTTGATGAGGAGCGTGTGGCTTGAACGAGCGTGACGAGTGGGGGACCGTCTCGGTCCCCGTTTGTATCCCCCATTTGCTGCGTGCGCAACGCCTGCTGCACATGTGATTTTTTCTTCCCCCCCACCAGAAATTCCACTGCCTGCATACAAGCAGTGTCCATATTTTGAATGTGGCCCTGGAAATTCAGCTTGTTATTGATGTGAACACAAAGGAATTTACCATCTACTTTGTTATTAATTTGGATATTGCTTGTTCTTAGATTAAGTTGATCTGAGAATTTATTACTAAACAAAATATAGAAGGTTTTGTCAATGTTAAGGGTGAGTTTGTTAGCAGATACCCAAAGATGGACTTCATTTAGTTAAGTATTCACTGTATCATTCAGAGTAAGAGTTAGGACTGGAGAAAATGAAGATTGTGTCATCAGCAAATAAAATTGGGTTGAGGTGTTGAGGGGCATTTGGAAGGTCATTAATGTAGATGAGAAAGAGGAGAGGGCTAAGTATGCTGCTCTGTGGAACACTAATGTTGATGGGTAGGATGGGAGAAATAGAATCATTCACAGAAACATACTGGAGCCTGTCACTTATATACGATTGAAGGTATTGGAGGGAGTGACCTCTGACTCCATAATGTTGTAATTTAAGAAGAAGGTTTTGGTGGTTGACAGTGTTAAAAGCCTTACGTAAGTCAACAAATAACCCAACAGGAATTTCATTTTTATCGAGAGCTGCATGTATCAAGTTAATCATACTAATCAGTACATTGATAGTGCTTTTTTGGGATCTGAAGCCATATTGGCAAGAGCTAAGTATATTGTGTTTAGTTAGATAAGAGTAAAGCTGCTTGTAGATTAGCTTTTCAAATATTTTTGACAAGGTTGGCAGAATTGATATAGGTCTGAAATTGTTGACATCAGTGAGATCACCACATTTATGAACTGGGGTTACTCTCGCTTTTTTTTTAGAATATCCGGAAAGGTTTAGAGTTCAAGCGGTTTGTTGTAGAGCAATACAATGACTGAAGCTAGAAATCTCGATGTTTTTTTCTAAATTAGAGTTAGTATCTCAGCAAGGGCACTTGACTTTGTTTTAAGAGAAAGGATTATCTCATTAACATCAGAGGAATTAGCGGGAGTTAGGTACAGAGGCTCTGGATAGTTTCCTGTAAGTTCTTAACGTTTGTTATGGAGGATGGAATATAATTTGCCAATGGATGAGAAGAAGCTATTGATTTTAATAGTGTCAGAGACTGAAAGCACACCATCGTCATTGGATAGGAGTACAGTATTGTTTTTTTTATTAAAAATCTGTTTTTTATCATAATATTTTTAAAATAGTGCTCCATGTTTTCTTAATGTTGTCCTTAATTTGGTGAAATTTAATTTCTTAGTATTTTATGTACAATCATACTATTGTACATAGTACAATCAATGTATTGTACAGGTAAAGAGGGAGCAGAAAGTGGGTACAGACGGAAGAACAGTCTGGAGAGGAGGAACCTCTTTTTCTTTAGAGAAAAAGAGCGAGGGCTGAACCCAGCTGGCCGATGATTCTTAAGTATTTGTCGTGGAATTGATGGACCATCCAAAGCACCAGGGGGGCGGAAAAGTGCGAGCGGCAGCCAGACGTCCATACCTTACCGTACCTTACCTATTATTATTTGTTTTGTTTTGTTTAGAAGTGTGTGTGGATGGGGGGCTGTCTCAGAATGCTGGCTGTACCAATTTTAGAGCTTGTGAATTTGTGAATGTCTCTAGATCTTGCGGTTTTTCTTAGTATGAACTTTGCTTCGAGTTGACATAGCTGTGCTGTCATTGAAGTTTGGTGTGGTGGGCTCCATGAGGAAATCTTGTACGAAGTGCCACACTTAAATAAATCAATCAATCAATCAATCAATCAATCTGTTAGATTAAGGATCTGCCCGAAACGCTATGCGTACTAGTGACTTTACAAAAATGTAAACGCACCATGCTATGTACTCTCATAAACCCAATGTACCTTCTTGTATATAAATAAATAAATAAATAAAATAAAGTGGAGTGCGGCGGCGATGGAGCTGCTACTGCGAGTTCCTCGTCTGAGGCGTCCGTAGCGTAGTCTGTAATTGGTGGATTTTACTTTGGTCTCACAACCTGAGGCTGAGGTTGGCTCTGGAGTAGCAGTGTGGTGGTTGAAACTGGTTCAGTCACGTCGGTGATGGTGATGGTGGTCGAGGATAGCACTTCAATGAGCGCATTTGCTGAGATGGTGAAAGCTTTGGGGGCTGGAGTGGAAGATGTTGTTTGTGCAGCCTGGGTCCTTGGTGGAGCTGAAGTCTGAGTTGAGATCGATTTAGTGGTCGACCTTGTGGAAGTTCCCTGTGTGGTAGGGAAGGGAGTGAGTCTTGTGTCAGGGGCTATGATGGGGTCGCGGGTCGTATTCCGGGGAAAATTTTGGATTAAGGACCTGCCCGAAACGCTATGCGTGCTAGTGGCTTTACAAGAATGTAAGAACTCTTCTATACATAAATAAATAAAATAAACATTTCACCCGCACGGTAATAAGCCCGTGGAACAACCTACCCGCCGAAACTGTAAATGTTAAATCGCTGTTGAATTTCAAACTCTAGCTTGACAAAATCATTAGGTCAAGTAGAAATACCTTCGAAAATCTGCCGGCTTCCTGTCCTCGTTGAGGTCCTCGGGTAAATTTAGGTAAATTCAGGAAAAATGAAATTTCTGGCCATATGAATCGAGTAAAAAAGAGATCAACTATATAAAACAAATAATCTGCAATTATTTGCAGATTATTTGTTTCATTAATTACTATTAATGAATTAAACAATCGTTAAATTACAAATAAGATACTGACAATAAATTGTGGGTTAAGGTGTGAGGTGGAGGTTGAGGGAGTGGTCCCTGACGCCTCACCACAACAACACTGATGACGAGGGTCCAGCACTCAGTCACAGACCCATAGTTGCCCTTAGAGTGCCTCGCTGCCTCTACCCACCCGTACCTTGCGAGTGCTTCTTGTGAGTCACTCGGCTGGTGAGTGTGTGAGGGCTGGAGGTGACCAGGTCGAGCTCAACAAGGCCTGAACCTAATTCTGCTCGTTTGTCTTCATATTTGGGATTTCACTTTAATCGTACATTGTAGATGCAAGGGGTACATATATATATGATACTTGAACATTGGAGAATTTGAAGGTAAGAGAAGTACAATACATCAAGCCACTAATATGTTGAGCATTTTGGGTATTCAACTAAAAAAAAAAAAAAATAGAGAGTCCCAGTAGTGCAGTTAGGTTTGTTAACGACTTTCAATCAAGATTTCCAGGTTCAAATCCCAGGTGGCACAGGAATGGTTGAGCACATTAACTTTCATCCAATGCTCCTATCCACCTATCAGTAAATATGTACTCAGGAGTTAGTCAGCTTGTTGTGGGGTTGCATCCTTGGCGGGGTCAGTAATTCAACCCTTTGCACCTCGATATAAGCCTAACATGTACTGTATATATATATATACTGGCTACCTGGCCCCCTAACACAATACATTCTATAAATCTCTGGTATGCTCCCACTTATTGTGTCAGGGGACAAGCAACTAGTTTATACATACAGTACATGTTAGGCTTATATCAAGGTCCTCCCCAAGATTGAATTAGTGACCCTCCCAGGATGCAACCCCACAACAAGCTGACTAACTCCTGGGTACCTATTTACTGCTAGGTGGACAGGTGCATTAGGTAATAGGAAATGCACCAAACTATTTCTGTCCATCCGGGATTCAAACCTGAAATTTTTTATTGAGTCGAGAACAAACACAACTTCATCTACCGCTTCCCACTGACGTCCTCCTTGAACTCGTCATACTCTGTGTTGACTCTTAATTCCTTCTCTTTCAATGGTAAGTACTTCTATCAAACTTTCGGTGTCGGTATGGGTTCCCCTCTCTTTCCTGTTCTTGCCAATCTCTATATGGAATACTTCGAAACCGTTCTTTTTCCCACTGTTGATAATCGTCCCTCTGTGACTTCGCTATGTTGATGATATTTTTGCCTTTGGCCCCATGACCTTACTCTTTTCCAGCCTTTCCTCTCCTCTCTTAACAATTTGGCTCCTTCCAGCCATTTCCAAATTGAATGGGAATCAAATGCCGTCCTTCCTTTTCTTGACGTTCATGTATGTTCACAGCTCTTTGACCGGGTTCTCTTTCTCTCTGTCACAAACCCATGCATAGTGATATATATATTCACTTCTTTTCCTACCATCCTCCTCCTTTTAAATAAAAGTGTCCTCGTCTCGCTTCCTCCGCGCTCTACACATCAGTGACCCCTCAGTTTCTTAATTTTGAAATTTACTTTACAGTATTTACAAATCTTTCTCTCGCCTTTGTTTACCCCTTACATTTTATCAACTGTGCCTATTCTCAAGCTAAACATAATTTCTTTCATCCTAAACCTGCTTCCAACACTACTAGCTCTGTGCTCTGCCTTCCCTTTATATCTGAACTCAAAACTCTTACTAATACCCTTCGTCCTCTTGACATAAAGCTCACCTTTCGACAAACTAACACTCTTCGTAGTAATCTTGTTCACACTTCTCCTCCTGCTTCTAATGCCGCGGGTGTCTTCTCTATTTCCTGTTCGTCTCGTCCTCTCCAATACTTGGGTAACCTAGCCATACACTTAATGACAGACTTAAGGAACACAAAAGAAGTGTTATGTCTGAAGACACAAACAATGCTCTCTTCTGTCATGTTAGGGATTCTAATCAACCTATTGATTGGGCTTCTTCTAAAATAATCTTTCCTGCCTCTACTGTTCAGACACCATCTTGTTGAATCGGCTCTGATACACAACCTACTCAACATGAACCAGAGTCCTGGCTTTGTTTCTGTTGACACTTCCCTTTCACAGTACATACACAAATGTTCTAAACTTTTCTAAACTTCTAACAAACGTGACCTAAACGTGGCCTACCCATCCTTTTTCTCTTTCTTTTTCTTTTACTTTTTCTTTCATATCTATTTACTCCTTTTATTACCCCCTTCATACCCATTACCCCTATCTTTCGCCTTGCTTTTACCTTCCTCCAAGATTTCCTACTCCTCACCTCTTTCATGCCTTACTAATGTCTGTGTCTTTCTCGTCTCTTCACAATTGACTTGATAATGGTCCAGGATGGAGCGAAACATCATTGTCTCTTCAATTTCTAGTGTGTGGTTTGGTCAACAACAAACACAACTGTACTACTGGGACCCTTCATTAACCCTTGTGTTGCTAAGGGCAAATATGCTATTGTCACCCGCAGACTCATAACAAAAAAAAAAATCTTCCTAACCTGTTAATTTGTGTTCCCTGAACACGAGAAAAAAAATTAATTGTACTTACCAATGACGTAAATGAGCCCATAATATGAGCGATGACGTCACACCCTGCATGCTCACTCATGCAAGGTGCATCCCAGAGGCGTCGCGCGCAGTCATCAAGCAACCAGAGTTACCACGAATTTATTTTCGCGGCATTATTTACATTGTCTAGGCCTATTTTATCACATATTATTCACTAATTGTGTTGCATATGATGTTACATCATGTTCAATGGTAATAAATGTTGCATACATTGAGTATACACATGTGCACACAAATTTTTCAATTACTCCCATTTAATATGTATTCACATTGTTCATTATTATATTTACACACATGCACACACTATTTACAGGTTTTTGCACTATTATTGCACATTTAGAAGTCTTGGAGAGAGTGGTAGTCGTTGAAGCAGTTGACAGTACATAATGAAACTGCACACACTTTACACCATGTTTATGTTTCTAATCTCTATTTTTTTTTTTTTTTTTTTTTTTTTTTTTCTACAAACTAAGCAATCACATTGGCCTATTGCACGTTTTCCAGCTGGTGGCAAATGTTTTAGTCTGTGTGCTTGAAAGCCTTTGATGTGAGCGAGCCTGGGTGTAGCAGCATCATGGAGAGGTGTACTTGCTTGAGGTTCTTCATGCTAGCCCTTTCAGGATTCATCCCAGTGAAAGCACTTTGGAGGAACATCTGGTCCATTTTGCCACTCTTGGTCCCTCTATATTTGGGCCTTCTGTCTTCCTGACGCAATGACTTGACATGGCAAAGTGGGGGAGAAGCAGGTCCAGTAGCTGGGTGTACAGCTACCTACTAGTGGGTGAACTAGTAGTGACTAGTTCTAGTACCTTAGTGACTGGATGGATTGTTGCAGTCTTGTTTTCTATGTTTGGGGCTGTAAGGGCCTGGTGTGCTTAGAATTGGGTAGAGCTATCCAGATTGCTAGTAACAAGTAACCACTAAGGACCCATCAAGAAAAGGCATTTAATTACATTAAGAGATATGCCTAGCATAGCACGAAGGATACTTCCCTTGATCAGCTGCCCTCAAAAAACCTTTAGTTAATTCATTCATAATTAAAACAATAATTGTATTTGATGAAAAGAACACTCGTATATCTGAAAAGGATATTAATTATTTACAAGTCTTTATTTTTAAATTTATTTTGTTCTTCAGGTTAATAATGGCTGGAGGCTTCAGATACAAGATATGGGACCCACCACTCATTGTATCACAGATAATTACTATGCAGGTATGGTTCCTACTACAGTGCTTTTCTTTTAATGACTATAGAACTATTTGCTTTTGAAGTTGTGGATGTAAGTGGCATTCATGACATTTTCGATCACTGTATTAATTTTTTTTACCACCCATACTGAGCACTAGTACTTCCCTATTTTTCTTAAACTCATTTCTAACTTCAACCAATGTCCTCGTTTCCTATTTTCTTTGTTTGAGGGGATTAACCTTCATTACCTTATGCATCCAGCCCAACCATTTGGGCTGGACGGTAGTGCAATGGTCTCACATCATGCAGGTTGGCGTTCAATCGCCAACCGTCCAAGTGGTTGGACACCATTCCTTCCCCCTGTCCCATCTCAAATACTTATCCTGATTCCTTCCAAGTGCTATATAGTTGTAATGGCTTGGCACTTTCTCCTGATAGTTCCCTCCCCTTCCCCTATCATGTGCTGTACCTTGTGATTATAACAACACTGCTCCTGCTCTCTTATTGGTTGTTATACTGAGTTCTCTTAACCTGTCCCCCATAGCTTATTCCTCTTAATTTAGTTGCTTGCCTGTCGGCGACTAGGGTAGAGTGAGATCTATCTCTGTACCTTGCCTGCTAGCTTTTAACACCTAGTGTGCCTATTATCTATCTTGACGTTCAAATTTTCTTATTTTTCTCAAAATTGCGGATGGAAGTAATATCAATTTTCAAGACATTTAACTTGATGACCATCCGTACAGGGTATGAGAAATTCCTTTACTACATTTCTAATAAGAATATTTGTAATCTTTCATATATACTGCACTACAATAAAAATTAAAGCACATGTTTTTAAAACAGTACAGTAAATCACACAAAATAAATATAAATTTTGAGTGTTCAGTATATCATTGCTGAATAAGATAAAAACGGTTCCCAATAACTTGATACTGTGCCAAATCATAGTCACCAAGGAATTTTATATATTTGTCAGAAAATATAACTGAAGCAACTATCACCACTGAAATGTTCTCCTTGGTCCAACCTTATTACTGCTGTAAGTGTCCATTTTGTCATTTACAATGCATCAACCCAACACATTTTAATTTGGGCCAGCACCTGGTGACATCATTCACCCTTCTCCCAGCTTGACTTCTACCAAACACAAAGGACCAGATTTACACCAAATTTACACAAAGGACCAGACTATGGCGTTCTCAGACAAGGGAAGCATAGAGATCTAATGCCACTGATGTCAACATGAATTACACTAAAACTTAAAGCTTCATATAAAATACGTATCCAATACTTGTAGAAACAATAAGACATGGTTACCGACCCTTTCTCTCACCTTCCATAATTACCACCAGGTGGAGCTCAGGTTACAGAGTTGCCAGCTAGTGAGACACTCGTTTAACTGGGAGCCACTGAGGGTTATTTATAAGTTTCATTTCATTTCATTAGATACTATTTCTGTTCTGTACCTCTTGGTGGATTCCCTTAACTATCTCGCTACAGTATTGCAATAGAGGTTTACGTTTTTCCTGAAAAAAGTTTGAATTATAAACAGAAAAATGTTCAGCGCAGACCTCTGGGAAACAAAGGCAGGATTCTGGGAGGTGAATGATAGAATCAACACTTGAGTTACCCACCCAAGTACCACACAAGTTTTGTGATGAAGAATGTCCAAAGAAAACAAGTGACCAACACAAAGTGTTCAAAAGTGCTTTACTTGGACCAAGTCAGTGAGCAGCGGTGTAAGGACCAGACGATCGACCGTCCACAGTGGTTATCAACAAGGAGCGAAGTACCTAGGGCAACAGCACTTGGTTCATTTGAACTCTGACTTAATCTGGTGGTACAGGGTATCAAAGATCATTAACATCAAATTTTATTTGATGTGGCATCCAAATAACTTAAGAGTCAAATCGTGAATGAACAGCTAGAAGATAGAATGTGGAAAGCAACACCCAACAGCAGAAATGCTCAAAACCCAGCCGGTAAGTAGACCAGATAAACTGCATGGAAATTCCAGGAAATAAACCCGGAGGAACAGGCAAGAGGCAAAAATGACATTTGAACGGAAAAGCATTAAAGTGCACCTGGTACCCCCTGGGCAACAGAAGAGTACCATAGAAAAGAACCAGAGTCTGAACCTGAGTATTGGTTCCAGGAAGGGGCACAAACCAAGGAGAACTGCCCAAATTCAGGCTCGGTAGAGGGACCACGTAGACTTCACCCAAGGGACACAGGCAGACAAACCTGCTGCTAGAAGGCAAACTCGTACAAGGACTGGGACTCGGCTGCTCTCACAAAGAAAAAGTAAACACAACAGGCAAAACACAGTGGTGATGGGGGAATACATCAGGCCAAGGACGCCCAAAGGAATCAAAAGTTCTCACTCTCTATGAAGGTCATGGGAATACTTAGACTGAAATGTTAACAATCCTCACAAGCAGAAGGGGTAACTCGCCCAGTCGAGCAGGCGAGTCAGGTAACTCAACCGAGTCAGCTAACTGACAAACTGGATTACCAGATCACGTAGGCTGGAATCCAGAGGTAACCAACTAGAATAAATCGGGTAACATATTGAACAACTCAAAGCTCAAATCCCAAGAACCTAGGGCAAACAGATTGAAACACTAGGGTAAATGGCAGAACATATACTGTACAGTGGTACCTCGGAATGCGATTGTCCCTGTATGCGAGGTTTTCGGAAGGCGAGGTGTATTTACTCCAAAAATTTGTCTCGGAAGGCGATGGTTACTTCGGGAGGCGAGTTTGGACGCGAGTTTGTTGATACGCGTACAGCCAACCTAGCGCGTGGTGGTTCGGCGATCGTCGCCCCTCCGCCCCGCCGCCCCTCAGTTTATTATTGTCTCGCGCTCAGTGACTACCCCCACATCAATTCTTCTCGCGGATTTTCAGTGTTTTGTTGGATTTTTGGTGATTAGTCTATACAATTTGTTATTATATATCTCACCATGGGTCCCAAGAAAGCCAGTGGTAAGGATAAAGGCCAGAAAGCTCATGTGAGGATGACAATAGAGGAGAAACAAGAGATCATTCGGAAGCATGAGAACGGTACACGTGTTGTTGAACTTTGTAGGCAGTACAACAAAGCCACATCAACAATATGCACTATACTTAAGAAGAAAAATAAGATTATGGGTGCTAAAGTGGCAAAAGGAGTAAGAACATTAATGGCACAAAGACCACAAATACTTGAAGAAGTGGAAAAGTTGTTATTAATTTGGATACACGACAAGGAGTTGAGGGGTGATAGTGTTTCGGAGGCCATTATTTGTGAGAAAGCCAGGGTGTTGCACGAAGACCTTCTAAAGAATACCCCTGCAACGAGTGATGCAGATAAGAAAGAGTTTAAGGCAAGCAGGGGCTGGTTTGAAAAATTTAGAAAGAGAAGTGGTATCCATAGTGTTACAAGGCATGGGGTTATGTGATGTGATTATGGAAGGGGACTCCCCTTCCAAACGGTAACTCCTCTCCTCCTCCCCCCTCCTCACCATCTTCCATACGCCTACAGCACTCGACAGCAAGGTAAGTAATAACTGGAACACAGTTTTGTAGGTTTATTTAGATGAATTAGGTAAATTAGGTATAAAAATTTAGTTTGATGTGGGGTTTTTGGGGTAGTCAGGAACGGATTAATTCATTTCCCTTTATTTCTTATGGGGAAATTAACTTCGGGATGCGAGTTTTCGGAAGGCGAGGCGTCTCCAGGAACGGATTAAACTCTTATTCTGAGGTATGCCTGTACATACATACCACCCCCAAAGAGCAGGTCACAATAGTTCAAGCAACCAGATGAAAAACTCGGGAACACACAGTCCAGGTCTCAAAGTAGATCACATGGCCCAAGAAACCAGGTCACAGAGTCCTAGCAAACTAGATTGCATGAGCATGAATCACAGCTAGGCTGACACAGCTACAACCATACAGTAGCTGTGTCAGCCTAGGTAAATAGGGAGCAAACCAGATAATCAGAACAATGATAGAAAAGTGAGGAGATACAGACCATGGTCCAAGGCACAAGCCCAGGGCATACAGCAAGAGAGCATAGGGCAGACATACTAGTACTTGTAAAACCAGTGCAAACAGCCTGCCAACCTGGATATAGTTTGGGGTGCCAGGACACACAGTCCAGAAGGCCAGGATTTTTTTCCCAGGGGCTGGTCACATAGCCAGGGGACCCCAGTGCACAAAACACTGGAAACATGGAAGAAAAACTACAGGGGCAGGAACCAAGTCTAGGATCCAGGACATACAGCCCTTAGGACCAGGGCCCAGAGCCCAGAATAAGAGTGCACAATCCTGGGATCAGGAGACGTCCTGAGACTAGGACATGATCAAATGGGCAGGCAGAAGTCCCAACAACAACCCAACAATCCAGAAGTAGGGCAGAGATTCCAGTAGCAGGGCAACAGCCAGCTCCATCTGGGAAGGTCAAGTCCACACACTCTGAGAAGCAAGATTAAATGACAAGTCAAGTCCAAGTGAATGGCTCTAGATGATGATATGATAGATGAATGGCTATCTAGATGATACAGCTGCAGCACGGGAGGTATACTGTAACAAAAGCGGCAAAATGGAAGTATCCCATTATCCACCACCCCTAGGGGGAAACACTGAACTCATCACATCACAGCTACAAGTTGCTCCAGCTTTTGTCAAATTCTGGCACATCTCGCCTGCAGAAGAGAAGGAGACCAGGCATAAATAGCAAAGAGCAACTAAGAGAATTCCTGGTGACAATTTAGTTCAAACCCCATGTATGCCCAGTGATGTCCCATCATGGAAAACTGATGTGAATAATATAGGCAGAGAATCCAATTCAGGTGCTACTATTAATAAGACTTGATGGGAATTAGCAGGAGGAGAACGAGTTCCAGACATAATTACATAGTTTAAATGCAGATAGTAAGTCACAATAATATGACTGAAGATTAGACACCCAACACACAAATCTGAAAATGAATAGATTAACAATGTTTTGGTTTGTCCTGGACCATTATCAAGTCATAATAATGGTCCAAGACAGACCAACACATTATGTTCAAAATACAGTACTCTAGATCGCGTATAATATTTGTCATATAATGTATGACTTGTCATACACACAGGTGTGTTTATCATTTGCAGCAAGAATACTGCAGTTTTCTTAGTACTGTATAACAAAATATAGCAAACTTTGGATGCAGTGGCTGGGATATGGTACAAATCTATCTGATCAATTGGGAGTCCAGGGTGCTTTATTATTTTCTTTTGTTTTCAGGCAGTGTACTATGTTGGGCTTGGTATGTGGATAGCCATGCTGGATCTTTTTACTGGCCATCATAGATCACTGGACAGCATCTTCAAGTACCAGGTGGGAATGTATGTTTGTGAAGTTAAACTTTCTTATTGCACCTGAAAATAATAAAATTTTGTTACTTCCATTAAAGGTTTTTTTTAGAATGCATTGATATGGATAAGTATTTCAAGTTCGTTCTTTCTTTTAGTGTTGTGTAGAGTTTTCTTGCAATGTGCGGACTTTTGTGCATTAATCATTTAGTCATTTCAGTTTTATCTTAACTATAGTGGTTATCCACTCTTAAAGAGACTTCTTAGAACCTTTTGTTTTAAAGAGTCATATGCATGTGTTAATGATCATTCCAATAACTTCAATGGACAACAAATGAACCGTCTTATTCTTTGTTGTCAGTTTCCGTCAGAATTTCTTCCTTGTTAAGATTGAGCTCTTGCTTTGAACTCCCCTTTTACTGAAACATCAGTGATTGTCACCAGATTCAGATACTTGTATATTGTAAAGATAAATATCCAACTACATTTCAATTTACAACTTGAGGCAATATGATGACTGATTACAGGAGATCCAGATAAAGGAAGTTCATGGGCGTGCTATAATGGCTGCATTTATCCTTAATGCTCTCACGGGGTAAGTCAATATTAATTTGGTTTTTAATTTGGTTGTTAAAGTGTTTGACTAAAAATATGTAGATAATGTATTTCTAATGGATATAAGATGGGAAAATGTACCAAAATGAAGCATTTTGCACTAATTTAAAGTTAAAAGCAGGTTTGTGTGAGTTTAGAAGAATTTTAAATAACATTTACATAGTGTAAAAGTGGATTATAAGCTTGGTAACCCAAAACACACTAATCTAAATTTACAGATAAACAATAAAATTGGGTTCGGTGTCAGTCAAGTATACACTACAGTAGTTATTCAGATTACTTAAAATAGGCTTGATATACAATTAAAATCTGCCAATTTTTCTTTGGAGACTGCCAAATTGGCTTTCCCCTTCAATGAAGCATTTAACACTTTCGCGCTATCTGGACGCGCCGGCGCGTCCCGTTTCGTCTAACGCTAACGCATAGTGGACATAAAGTTGAGTCCTCTTTTAAAATATTTGTATAAAATTCAATTTTTATCCGATTTACTTTGGGTTTGTTTCAAACTGCGCGCTATGAGGCTCTCTTTCTCACCACTAGGCTGCATGGTACAATAAGTTCATGAAAGGTGTGGATAACTTCGATCAAATGGTATTTTGTCCCAAACGGGTTGCAGGTGGGTGACTTTAGCCGTTTATACTGGTAATGCTTCCCCCATATCATGTATTATATGCATATGTCTGTTTAGGGAATTTTATTCCGATCAATATACAACCAAAAATAACTGTGTGCAACAAGTATAAACTTGACAAACATAACAAAAGTAAAAACATTTCGTGTGTGTTTGACGCTCACTGATATGTTCCAGCGTTGTTTTATATTTGGCGCTATTCTAACTTACGCTTTGTTGATATTTTTTACCTATGGGCACATAGAACATTCTATTGCGAACACATTGACACAAAAATGAATGGCGTACATAGAAAATTAATGTCATGAGAGTGAAATAAGTATAAACTTTCAAAGCGCCGTGCGTCGTCCCGTCACCGATACCGGGTAACAATTTCACCACTTCCCACACTCTTGCGGGCGGGCCGCATCATTATTCTACGCTTATATTCATATCACCGTGTTGGGAATTTCATTGCGAGTCCATTGATACCAAAATTAACGCTGTAGAATAAGTGTGGAGGTGATTACAATCCCAAGAGTAAAAACATTTTGTTGCTGATGGGCGCTCACGGCGAGTCATCTTCGTAGTTATTTATTTGGTGCTGGTATCCCTATACGTTTCGTGACTTTTTTTACTGATGTTCTTCTAGAGAATTTTATTGCGAACACGTTGGTACCAAAATGAAATACGTAGCATGAGAACTAAGGTCAGAAGAGTAAAAAGAGTATACACATTTTTGTTTTTACGCTTAAGCGATAAAAACGCTGCGCGCACATTCGGTTGGCTGAGTGACCTTTGCGGAAAGCGCGAAAGTGTTAAGAACTTGTGATGCCAGCTGTTATCACATGAGTAAGGACTGTTTGCAGAGAGTGATGGAAAACTTGAAAATGGTACCACTTTTCAACAACAGTACCAAATGCAAATTGATCTCATCTCCTAGGATATTTTGGGTGAAATTCTCATTGCCCAGGCAATCCCAGTTTCTAGAATTTACCGTTTCATTACATGATCGTCTTTATTTTATAGGGATTCTCGCTTTTCTTGCTGTCAGCTGTTCTGGACAGGGTGTTGCTCTGAGTTCGGACATTGGTTGCTTCAGTTTCTGGTTCTCATAACCCTGCTGTGATTGTGGGGCTCAAGATACTTCAAGCTTCCTTCACATAGGTGCTTGATGCCACTTTTGTCTAATGGTGGAATGCAGGGGTTGTATTTGCCCCTGCTAGACTTTACTGTTTTGCCTTCTTCAGGGTGGAAAGATCCATCTTTGCTTCATCACCAAGAAATAGCTTCTTCCAAAATGCATTCTTTCCTAGGCACTGGTGTTACTTCTATTTCCACTTGTTGGTGGATGTCCTGTTTGTGTTATAGGTGAGGATTTTGTTGATTTACTATTTACACTTTGTGGCTTTAGTTTCCCAACCCTGATGGTGTCTACTTCCAAGCGGTTGGAATATTGTGTCTTGTCCAAAATCAGGTAGGTCATTTCTTGTTGCTACCTCATATCTGGTTTATTATATCTGTTTGTAGAGAAAGTGAACCACCTCATTAAACATTTTTCTGTCTATCCTGCATGTTCAGAAGGTCCATCATAGCATGCAATATTATCTTGGGAACTTAGAGCTACACTTTAGTACTCGATTCCTCTTAAAGCTGTTGTATGTACCTGTTGCTCACTGATTACTCTTCCCTGGCAGCCAATATCTAATTTCCTTGTGGAAATGGCTGCTCTTTTGTTGCTCATAAGCTCTTGAGTGAAGTTAAATTTCGCCTGTGTTCATTGTTAAACTCTCAGGGGAACACTTGTACTGTATTTCCTGAACAGTGCCCCTGTGCCTGTTCTCACTCGAATTTTTTTTTACCATTTTACAAGGGTCTACAAACACTTTAATGCATACACAGGTTTCCAGTATCATGAACAAATCCACATAAATATTCATTTTGAGTATTGAACGGTACTTTAGGAAAAGTATATACGTATAACTAAAATATTTTGTATTAGTACATTCAGCGTAAAATTAAAAAAAGTTTTACATACCTTATCAGGAGAGTAGTATATTGAAATATAATCTAAATTACTCTTGTAGTCCTCTGCCTTCAGCATAACTAGGTATAGTACTATATATAAATCTATACTAACATTCATCTCTTAACATGATAAAAAAGAAACTTAACAGGAAAGTCGTGTATTAAGTAATCTTTATTTTTGTTGCCATATGCACTAGTGACTAGAGGAAGTATTGGTGTACCAATATCTGTACAAAAATATACAGTATACTGTATTTAAGGCTACAACCAATAATAAGTCATTAAATGTAATCTATTCCTATGTCCTTCGTAAGTACAGTAATTGGGAAAATGCCCTTAGCCCAGTTATATATTGGCCATGCAAGGTTAACTCTTGGGCACTAAGTGTAACTGAAACTTGTCTCTTACTGTCCAAATTTCATTATTCCATCTCCTAATAGAATGTTCATATTTTCTGGATGGTCAGAAAATTTGCATCCCAACTGTCTTTTTACTTCATATACAGTACTGTGTTTTTAATCTAATACATATATAAATAAGCATTTGTTCTGCTACTATATAGGTATCCAAAGTGATATCTAAGAGACTTTAATCGTCTGTAGCTTACATAGTTTAGCACTTGATAATTACTAATGTAGAGTATATTTTGTGTGAGATTGTTCATCTGTATGTTATACTGTACTTTGGTTAAATCTCATTTAAGCCTAATTTCAGTGGCACTGGATATACAGTACAGTATATTTTGCATCATTTATCAGAACTCCTGTTTGTCTTTTATAATTGTGTGCACTTAATATCTGCAGGTCACTAGGATTATGGAAGGTCGTTCAACGTACAAAGCAGTGTCTAGATTTCACAATAACTGCTCATTTTCTTCACTTGGTGGCAAGCTGGTTATATAATGGCCATCTTCCTTCTCAGCCCTCTGTTTGGCTACTGAATCTCGTCACCATCACATTAATGTGCGTTCTTGGTGAATACTTGTGTATGAGAACTGAAATGCAGCACATTCCAGTAATGAGTTCCAAGGTAGATTTGTAAAATTAATAATATGACATAATAATGGTATTCCAACCTAAAGTGATATCTTACGTTATATGATGTGAAAGCATTCTCGGTTCAGATTACATGTTTAAATATTTTTCATATTTATGAAAAATGCATGAGTGCTTTTCCATTTTATCATCAGTTACTCTAATGAACATATAACTTACACATATTACTAGCTTGTGATATTTTTGTAAACAAAAAGATTATTGATAACATATTAACACTTTCATGCTCCGTTAATACGTAAATACGCCATCAAATTGCTATTCATAAACATTTGTATATTCATCACTGTCACACATAGTCTATTACAAATACTGTACTTTTGTTTTTGCTTCTGTTCTCTAGAAAATTAATTTATGAACATTTCGACACCAAATTTATAGTTAGAACTCAACAAATAACTTAGAAGAGATAAAATGATTGTAAAAAAATATTACATCTCTGAGCGGTCCAGATAGCCCGGAATGTTTACAATCGGGAACGTGTGGAGAGGCTAGACTGCCAAAGTGTTAATTGGTTGGTGATATGAATAATAGGCTATACCGGGTACGTAGTACTTTTATTATCTTAATATGGAACTATAAAAATATCTACAGACATTGTCTTATAATACTGTAACAAGGTTAGTGTAAACGCTTCAGCATGGTAATAATTTTATTTACATAAAATAGTGGGAAATGTGAATTTATATTTATATTTTTTATGGAGACATTAGAATCTTGAATGCATATGATAGTCAGTCTCTCTCTATATGGTATGTAATGATTTAGTACTATCAAATACTGTCATTATTATTTGTATTTATTTTTTTTAATTTGTAAATATGGTGCTGTAGTTGCATTTGAATATGAATTGTCTATGTATGGTTGCAGATTAGGATTTTGAAAATATATCGATTTATTCTGTCAATTGTCAAGCAGTACAGATGGAAATAAAGTTGTCAATACATACTGTAATACAAAGTAAGTCAAGACTAGAAAGTAAGTTTGATTGTAGTCAATTGAAGGAACGTTGTTAAAACTAAATATAATTCGTGAAAATTTGACACTTGTCTATTCAAAAATAAATAAATAAAATGAAAGGTACACTGTTAAAGTAAACAAAAATTATATATGGTGTCAAATCTTACCGAGTTTTTCATTGTATGATTGAAAATTTTGAAAGAAACTTTTTTTTTTTTTTATGGTCCAACTACCATATGCCAATGCATTGGCTTTATCCATATTGACTATGCGTCTCAGATTCAAAGTTCAGCATTTGGTTTTGTAATATGATTAGAATTGCACTTCTTTGTCAGGTTGTGTAAGAAAGACTGGATGAAACGTTGCAGAACTAGTCTTGGTGCAGCTCAGCATTTCTATTGTTTGTAGTTTATCCATATGTTAGCAACACAGAATTAATGCTATGTATACCAAAGTTTAGCAATAAAAGATGTTCATACTCTAAGCATGCATAATATCAATGAGTAAATGAAGGTGTGCATGATATGTACGTATGTATTTAGTGAATCGGGACACATTTTGCCGAGTTTGAGAAAAAAATTTATTTTTTTTACACAAAAATTTTAACATATATATTTCTTTATTTTTTAAACTTCCCAGTTCCTACATGTTTTGGAGTGCCCATAGAATGTGTGTTGTATGTTAAGGCATTACATGAATTAATATTTTGCAATGGTTTTTGGTTAAATTATTTTTCATTAGCAAAGTTATATACATTACATGCTTCCAGTTAAGAACTAGACGAAGTGTCATAAACCTTAGTACAACGTGAAAAGCTTTTAGTTATGATAATATAGTTATGTGAATTTTCTGAATAATGCATGAAAAAATTACTATATTGATGTTGTGAAGGATGAATGGTTGAAGAACAGTTTGTAATATACAGTAGACCCAGTTCTATTCAGTGGTTTTGTGGCTTCCACTATTGTACAGAGTAACAATACACACCCATTCTTCAATCTAAAGTGCATTGTGAACTTGCACTTTAGTGCAGGTAGTTGGCTAACATCATAAATTCAAAATGAAAACAGCTGTGTAACTTGTTCAGTGGCTTTCTTATGGCCTTAACTCTTTCTTTTAATCTTGGGGCCAATTTATGAAAATCCTTCAAGGCATTCCTAACAATGTTAGAGATGCTGTTCATACTCTTACTTCTCACACTGAGTTTTCTGAGCAAAATCATAGTTATATATCCTGATAATTAATATAATTTTCTTTCTAGATTTTAGTTGTATACCTGTGCTTGGTAGCTTTTTCCCATGGCTCCAACTTCTAATTTTTATGCCATTATGTGGAAGTCTTTTCGGGCCCTGGTTTGTACCTGTACTGTAGTTTGGTAAAAAATAATGCCTTCAGACTATTTTACACTAGACTTATTTGCAAGGTACTGTATTTTGTTACTCTAATTTTTTCTTATTAACAGTATAATATGATAAACTTTAAAATAAGTCTTAAAATTTTGACATTATTATAAAAAAAATTCTTGGTCATGAAATACATCCTGTTTCTTTGGGTAGAATTTGTAGTTGACTATATTTTCAGAAATTAAGGCTTACTCTGATGTTTAAACCTAACAAAATGTATATGATATATACTATACTGTATATGTAATTATAATATTGCCATAATAGTAATATATGTAGGTGTTGGTCATGCATGTCAGATATTTTATATTAGAATGGACTCCTAGTCTGGAGCTCTTCAGTCCTTTCTTAGCATATTCGGCATTATAAATATTTTAGCAATGAAAAAATTTACTGTACGAATATCCTTTTTACCAAAGTTTTTTGCATCTTTTGCATATACTGTTTAGTACAGTCATATTGGCATCATCCTTAGTGATATTTAGCGCCTTTTGAATATCCCACACATTTGATAGTGCTACATAGCCTTCCCGGTTTGGTGCCTTCTTTTGATAATTACTTGATAATTACGTACTTGCATATACAGTATATACTAATCATCATTTCTCATTTCAAAATACTGTTGTTCAGTATTTAAGAGTTTACAGGAAGCAATGGGCAAGTCCACCATTCAATGGTGCTAACAGCCCCACATCTCTTGTTAGAAAGTGGAGAGCAGACTGGTCTGGGATTCCATCATTTTTCTTTATTCATCCCTTTAGGAAAGTAGAAAACTCTAAATCAACCTTAAGTAAATCACAGACAAAAGGCTAGGAAAGCCTTAGATTTGAAAACATTCATATCCAAGGTTTCAGAAATCATGAAGCGGCATATTTGGATATGTGACAAGATATAAATTGGTACTGTAATTTGTTTTCGTCTAATTTATTTGAATTTAGCAAGGTGTTTTCCATGGTTCTTGCTTCTTGGCCTTTAATGGTGAGGGTGATCAGTCTAGGCTTTGCCTCTTGACCTTGATTTAGTCAACATAACTTAGTGGGCGGCTGCCGGAGTGTGATGCTCCTTGGGACAGTCCTCTGTCCTTTTCTAGCCTTGTGCTCCTGCTGCCGTCCTCTCCAATTCTGCTGGGCATCTTTTCCTTTTCCTTCTGTTTCGTTTTTCTCCCCCCTCTTCTCCTATCTGCTTGCCGTTTCCTGCCGACCTTTTGCTCGTTCTGGTTCTTCCCTTGGACTTCTTCTACTTTGACGCCCGGGTGCTTGAGGAGGCATACTCTTGCACCCGTAGAACTGCAGTACCCGACGTCGAGCGCGAGGGGAACCTTTTATTGTCAATCCCCACTTCGTCACTGAACCCGATCTCGACGGACTGTCGGTTTCTTAAGGTGGCGTTTGTGGGGCGTATACTCACGACGCACCCCTAGGAGGCCCCGACAAGATCGGCGATAGCTTCTTGTTGGGTGTCCTGCCTCTAATTGTGGCTCCATGGTGGGTGTGGGGGCACATTCGTGAGTGAATTCGTAATTTCGTCAAGATGATAACCCCTGTTTCGGCTGCTTCTGGCTTACCTTTTCAGGCTCGTGGGGTGGGCGACCAAGCCCCCGAGTCGGTCCGTATTGGAAGACCGGGCTCTGTAGCCTCCGCTGCATTGGGCCCCGACCTTGCTCCTCCTTTGGCCTCTCTGACTCCTTCCCCTGGCTCCCCTCCCTCCTCTGTGGTTGGGTCGAGCCCCAAGCCCCCAGTGGTGACTACCTCGTCCCCTGGCGCGGCTCCTTCTCTAGTTGTTACTACTGCGCCTTTTAACCCCTCTCTCTCTGGGGGTTCTCACCGCCGTTCTCGTCACGGCCGCCCTCGCTCGATTCCTTCCAGTTCTGCTACCTATCAAGCCTTGTTTGGTCCCGCTTCGTGGGCCAAATATTTTGATCTCCTCCCTCTTGATTCTGCGCCTCCTGACGATTTCTCCCTTCATCGACATCTCATTGATTCCGTGGATGCCTCCATTACTTTTAACCCCACTCGTCTCGGTACGCGTGTCGTTGCTGCTCCTTCTCAGGATGCTGCTTCCCGCTTGGCTGCCTTATCCTGCCTTGGCGAGACCCCCGTTCGGGTCTCGAAGAACGTCCAGTTGAATGCCAGTGTTGGCACTATTTTGCTCCCGCCCCATGTTGCGACCGGTGTTCGGGACCTACGCGACTGCCACGACGATATTCGACATATCCTCGCTGCCCAGGGCCATTCTATTCTCCAGGTGGACACGTTTACTCGTCCCCCTCGTGGTAGTCGCCGTCAACCCCTCCGGGTTGTGAAGATTACCTTTGATGGTAGGACCCTTCCACCCTCTGTCATTCTTGCTGGTGCCAGGTGCTCTGTCCAGGAGTACATTCCTTCTCCTCGGCTCTGCAACAAGTGCTGGAGGTTTGGGCATGGTGCCCTCCGCTGCTCCGGGACTGTCTCTCTCTGTCCTTTGTGTGGTGGCGAAGGTCACTCTAAGTCGGAGTGCGCTTCTCCCCAGGCTCGTTGCCTCAACTGCGGTGAGGCCCATCCTACCTTCTCCCGTGCGTGTGTCCATTACAAGCTTGAGGCAGCCGTCCTCAACTTGAAGCACCGGGAGCGTTTATCTTTTCCTGAGGTGAGGCGCCAGGTTCGCCGGCTCCCGCCTTATGCTAATATCTCTTATGCTCGCGTGTTGCGCTCTTCCTCTCCTCGTCCTTCCCGCCTTCCTCAGACTCACAACCGTTTCCAGGCCTTGGACCCTGATGCGCCCACTGCCCCCTCCTCTGTCCCTTTGGGTTCTCTCCCGAAGGATCCTCCTCCTGGTCCTCTGTCTGGGGTTCCCCTTCCTTCTACCCGGTCTGTCGTGTCTTCTGTGTCTCCTTCCTCGTCCCCCTCCGATCCTCCTTCCCATCCTCTTCCTCCATCTATCGGCTCTCCCCGCCGCCTGTCGGTGCGGGCGGATGTCCATCGCTCTCCTAACGGCCGTCGTGTGTGCTCTCGTTCGGCTTCTCCTGTTGAGACACTGGAGTCCGTTGCCCGGTACGTAGTTGCTGGGACACCGGTCTCTTTAAGTCAGAAGCGTAAGCCTGGCTCCTCTCCTTCCTCTTCCCCGGCGGGTAAGAAGGCTTCGCTTTCTTCCTCAGCTCCTCCTTCTGGCTCTGTTGCTCCTTCCACTCCCGTTTCAGTGCTTGCGCCCCCTGTTCCTGCTATGGAGGTTTCTTTGGCCCCTGCTTCCCTTTCGGTTGCTGCTCTTGCTGGGGTGCGCTCCTCTCTTTCTACTCCCCCTTGACTGCTCCTCTCCGTTGTCTCCTCCTCCTCCTCCTCCTCCTCCTCCTCCGGACCCTGCCCGCCCACCTCTGATCTGTTCTCCCGTTTCCTTCCCTCCGTCTTTGCTCAGTTTACCCATGCCCCCTAACCCTGACTTTGCTGACCCTGATCCCGACCCTGATATTCTTTAACGTGCTCTGTTGGTCTTTCGCCTTTGTTTCTTCCTTGTTCTCTGTTTTTGTCCTTTCTCTTCTCGTCGTTGTCCATTCTTCAATGGAACGTTCGAGGTTATTACGCCAATTTCCTCGAACTCCAACTTCTGGTTTCGCGGTTTTCGCCCCTTTGTGTCTGTCTCCAGGAGCCGATGCTTGGTGCTCGTCCTGGTCGTTTTCGTGGCTATTCCTTTCTCTCCCCCCCCCCAGCCATTGCTGGGGCTTCTAATTCTTCTGCTCTCTTGATTCGGGCTGATGTTCCCTTTGTTCCTTTACTTTTTCCTTCGCCTCTCCATTGTTCTGCTGCTCGTATCTTTGTGGGGAAATGTTACACAGTTTGTTCCATTTATCTCCCCCGAGTGTCCCGCTCTCTCTTCCTGATTTGAAACACCTCCTAGACTCCTTGCCGGAGCCTGTGCTCCTGCTGGGTGACTTCAATTGTCGTCATTCTCTTTGGGGTGACGTTCTGACGAATACCCGGGGTCGCCTCCTTGAGCCGTTTCTCCTCTCTTCTTCCCTGTCTCTTCTGAATTCTGGTGAGCCCACTCATTTGGACTCTCGAACTCGCACCCTTTCTTGTCTTGATCTTTCTCTCTGCTCTTCTTCTCTTTACTTAGATTTCACATGGCAGGTTCTTGATGACCTCCATGGAAGTGATCATTTCCCCATCCTTGTTTCCTTTTTCTCTTTTCGCCCTTCCCTCTCTTTCCCTAGGTGGCAGTTTGCTAAGGCGGACTGGACCCTGTTTTCCCTCAGTGCTACTCTCTCTGACCTCTCCCTTCTGCCCCTCTCTCGCGCTCTCCTCCTTTTTCATGACACTGTCTTCGACGCTGCCCTCCGCTCTATTCCTCGCTCTTCCTCTCGGGGTCCACGGAAGTGCGTTCCCTGGTGGAATGCGGACTGTGCTCGGGCTGTCCGCTGTAAGCGTGCAGCCTGGAAGAAGCACCGCCGTAGGCAGACGACCGATTCTTTTCTTTTCTTTCGGAAAGCGAGTGCGGTGGCCCGTAGGGCCATCCGTACGGCTAAACGTGAATGTTGGGCATCTTATGTCTCGACAATTACGTCCGAAACCCCTCTGGCCCAGATCTGGAAGCGTATCCGCAAGATAGCGGGCAAGTTCGTTCCCGATGTTTCACCGGTCCTTCACCTCCATGATACTCTTGTGGCGGACCCGTTGCAGGTCGCTTCCGAACTGGGTTCCCACTTTTCTTCTGTTAGCTCTGGTCTTCATCTTCCCCAATCTTTCCTTCTTCGTAAACCTGTCCTTGAGTCTCGTCCTTTAGATTTCTGCACTCATCTTCAGCTTCCCTATAATGATCCCTTCTCTCTCTCTGAACTTCGTTCTGCCCTGGCCCTCTGCGGTTCTACGGCGGCGGGCTCCGATGGTATTCATTATGAGATGCTTCGCCATCTCCCTCCGAGCACGTCTCAGTATTTACTGAGTCTGTATAATCGGATCTGGGAGTCGTCGTCAGTCCCTGAGGACTGGCTCGATGCCGTTGTCCTCCCTGTTCGCAAACCAGGGTCTCTGGGTACTTCCCCTAAGGACTTTCGCCCTATTGCTCTCACAAGTTGTGTCTGCAAACTCTTTGAACGTATGGTTAACGTTCGTCTGATGTGGTTCCTGGAACACCATCACCTCCTCTCCCCTTCTCAATTTGGTTTCCGCAAGTGCCGCAGCACGACAGATGTCCTGGTGAACTTGGAGGTCTATATACGTACTGCTTTTGCTGCAAAGACCTCCGTTGTTGCCGTCCTTTTTGACCTAGAAAAGGCTTACGACACCACTTGGCGTTATCATATCCTATCTCAACTTCATTCTTTTGGCCTTCGTGGTCATCTCCCTCTCTTTCTCCGCAGCTTCCTCTCTCGTCGTTCCTTTCGGGTGCGCCTTGGTACCGCTCTCTCTCCCCCTTTTCAGCAATACGAAGGTGTGCCCCAGGGTAGTGTTCTGAGCACTACTCTTTTTCTGGTTGCCCTCAATGGTCTTCTTTCCTCTCTTCCTTCTGGTGTCTTCTCCGCTCTCTATGTCGATGATCTTACCCTTTGTTGTCAGGGTGATGATTCGCCTCTCCTTCAACGCCGGCTTCAACTTGCGATTGATGCCGTGTCGTCTTGGGCCACAGGTCATGGCTTCAAGTTCTCTACTTCTAAGACTTGTGCCATGACTTTTACGCGGAAACGGGTTGTTCTTCGTCCCTCTTTGTCACTTTATGGTCATCCCCTTGAATACAAAGATTCCGCGAAGCTTTTGGGGTTATTCCTTGACACTCGTTTGTCTTGGTCTCCCCATATCTCTTACCTCCGTGTTGAGTGCTCTAAGTCCCTTACCCTCCTTCGGGTCTTGTCCCATACTTCTTGGGGGGCAGATAGGCGCACTCTCCTTGCTTTACATTCCTCTCTCGTCCTGTCTAAGCTCGATTATGGTTGCCCTGCTTACTCGTCTGCTTCTCCTTCTACTCTTCGCCGTCTTGATGCTTTGCACCATACTGGGTTGCGCCTCAGTTCTGGTGCCTTTCGTTCGACTCCCGTCCTTAGCTTGTATGTTGACACTGG